CATTTGGTCTCCTCCAGCACCACCTCCAGCACCCCCACCGCCGTTCGGTCGCAAGTGCTTCCACGTGGGCTACCTGGAGCCCAGCTAAGCCCGTGCGGAGCCGCATGAGCAGAGCTCGCTCCCCCGTCCTGTAGAAGCCCACCACCACCTCAGGTGTCAGGTGCCTCGCCAGTGTCACCACCGGTGGCGGTTCCGCCACGAGCCAGTTGGCCAGCTCGCGGGCAGCACCCTCACCCATGGCAGCTGTGGCCCGTCATTTTACGTGTTCGGGCCTGTCGTTTACGAAACAAGCCCTGCCCAACCAACCGCTTTCGTCGTTCACGAAGTTTGTGTCGAATTGTTTGACGACTTTCTACCTGCGAGTCAGCATAAGTTCGTCCAGTCAAGAGAGAAGAGCCTACTGCGGCCCAGTGTGTGACGCTCGAGAGTGAGGTCCGCTTTCGTTTCATTCTGTCTCGTGTACCGGCCCTTGGAGCATGTGCACAGCTACGTGTGTGGGTTGTACCCTGTTGGGGCTAAGGTTAGTCTGTTTTGCCGTACACGAAGATGACCCCCGTCATAAAGTTCGAAGAGTCGGAGCCCACCCGCCTCTTACCGGAACGGAAGGTTGAGGGGAGAGGACAGAGCCACACCGAGTCCCCAAGGTGGGCGTTGTCCCAAGTCCCCACACCTAGTCGCCCGTCCCGTTGCTCCCCGTCGATCGGAGTCAATCCGACCACCTCTTGTAGAGGAAGGACGTTTGCCTCACCCTATGACGGCTGACCATGCGTGCGCACACGCTCGACCTTTGTGTTATTGTCCGCCCCCCTACAAGTGCGTTATATCAACTATCGTGCGACTGCGTGCGGACACCAAAGCTTTGACTGCGTCAATGTGACCTGTCAGACAAACACCGGTGACCATCAGACAACCAGACGAACTGCCGGGGGACACTCAGGGGTGAACCACAAAAAACAGGGGTGAGTTGCCGGGGCACACCGCGTGGAGGTACGGAGCATGTGCGACTAACAATTGGTTGTGTTGTTAGCCCGCTGGGTGTGTAGTGCGGGGGCAGTACACGAACTTGAGGTTCGCAAATGTCACATCACTCTTTTTTGTCTCACTGCGTCAAATTTGGAACTGTTATTGTCTTAGCACTGCCTCAAGCAAGCCCAACCCCAGACCCTGATGATGTCAGCCACATGGCCTAAACCCTGCATACTCGCGATGTTTTGCGAGGGTTTCCCACAGGCAAGCAAAACTGCAAGCCCGAGCTGGTGATGCAGAGGTGCCGGATTTAGGCAACGCATCACGGCCAAGTGACGAGGGGCGGCGGCACCAGGGTGCAGCCCCTATAGCTAAAGCTAGCAGGCAAATTGCCTAGCGGCGACATGCTACCCCAGGAGGCGTAGCCGGATTAACCAGGCTCCCGCCTGCTGCCGCCGCCCCTCGGCTGGGTCGGGGCTGTCTGCAGCCACGATTGGGCGGCATTAACGGAGAAGTCAGAAACGTGGGAGCCCGTCCGGTAATTGCTGTCCTCCCGAAACTGGGCCTCACTGCTCTAAAGCGGCATTAACGGAAAAGTCACACACTCGGGGGCCCGTCCGTTCAGCGCTGTTTGGGGATGGCGCGCCTCATTCACATCAAGTTGCATCCGGTGCCAGTCCCCTCCCGGAGGTGGGTCCTCCCAGTCATTGCTGTTCGGGTCAAGTTGCATCCTGGTTGGGTCGACCGGTCCAAGGACTGGTCCTGGCACCGGCCCAGGTCCTGAACCGGTCTCAGTCCCGGAACCTTTTCGACAAGATATCATGAATTCCCAGCACTTCATTCCAGTTGCATCCCACGCCAGTCCCCTCTGCAGAGGCTATGGGACGGGAGGCAGAGGGTCGGCGGATTTGGGTGTCCCGCCAAGTTCCCCGTTTTGAGACCCAATTGATAGAGTTTCACACCCAATGTAAGAACCCGACCATGACCCACATGGCCAATGGCCCACGGAATGACTCACCACTGAGCTTGGTCCGTGGCGCAAATGATCTTCAGTGACACCCTCATCCTCTTTAGTGTGGCGGGTTTTCCCCTAAAAATGGGTTAGCCCCGAGAAACGATTCCTTTGCTGACCTGCAAAGCCAATCCTTACCACTCCATTTTATCGGCTGGTTGCAAGCCTTGATTGAAGGTGAACAACACCGACGCGGAGGGCCGCTTAACCCTTGCGGATGCGCTGCTCTATTGCCAGCAGCAGGGCGTCACGGAGGTGGTGGATATTGCGCCCGCACCCCAGCCGTTTCCCATGAATTCCCATGAGCATGTGTCAAACACATGGGATTTCCGCAAACATGTGGGCGGGTTTCAACTTCTGGTTTCCCTCCAAAGGAGCAAAATGGCTTCTAACTTTTCCTTTGAAGCAAGCTGACAAGGGCCCCCCCAACAAAAGGCACAAACCTCTAGGTGACATCCTCAGAACCCTCCAAAAAGGTCCCAAAAGTAATTCTGGGATTGCCCTCTGGACCCCGGCTGTAGCCGTTTGGGCAGATGAGCCGATAGACAGGGGAAGTACCTTGAAACGTGGCGCGGAACTCAAACACGGAGATTGCAAAAAGAAGTCTTTTCTTTTTGGGTGTTCCATGATCTGATTTCAGGGAGGAAGGTAAGCTGAACAGCAGGAAGGCGCATTTTCTTCAAACGTTTCCGGACACTGAGCTCCACGCCAATTCCCGATCATCCTCTTTTCCATCATCTCCCCGCATTTCCTAAATGGCTCCTGCCCCTGGCTGCATAGCCATCAAGGTCACCCCTCAAGTGCTATGTGCAAGTGCCCGGGCTTCTGACGAACAGAACCGGACCTGGCCCAGTCTCCTTCTTCAAAGCAACGAAAACCCGGCCAGCGCGGGAGTCAGGGCCCCGTTTTCGACAGGACGCTAACGGGAGCGAAGATGGTGGGCCTGGGCCTTGAGATCTCCGCGCTCTACAGCAACTCCGAGGACGGCTCTTCGGTGTTTTGGTTGCGGGCAAACCCGAAAACCCGGTAAGACCGGTAAGAGATGTGAGACGAGATCGGGGGACCCTCAGCATCTAAACAAAAAGAGCTGGGTGTGCGTTTTGTTGAGGCCTTGTCTCGTTTTGGGGTTCTGAAAGGAAAATCCAAAAGGAGCCATGTTTTTTGCTCCCACTAGATTGACGCATACGCTTCTGGCACCCCTTGAAAGGAAGCCCAAGGCAGTTGAAAGGAACCCCAAAGGAGTTTGTCTCAGCAACTGTTGGGTTCGTCTCGAAATAGGGGATCCCTCAAAATCGTGTTTTGTCCCTTTTGGCTTGACTTTGACACGCAGCAAAAGGAGGTACCCCCCAAACCAGCCATGGAGATTGGCTTGAACACTTGACAATAGTCGTTTGAACGATAGTTGTTTGAAGAACACCAAGGAGGTGGCCGAAGCTGTTACTAAAACCATTGTAGCCATGGGAAGAAAGCCAGTGGTTTTGGGCGCTGGCCTTAGGCTTCAAGAACATGGTTGACCCAATTTCGATGAAACTCCTGAACGGCCAACAATGCTTAAAAGACACCCCCATTGCCGTGTGTGTTCATTTGTGTTCACCTCCCCCTCTTTGTTTCAACCAGGGAATCCCAGGGATGGCTTCCGAGGACCTCGCCCAAAGGCTGGAGACTTCCGCCAAGGCCACCGGGGAGAAGCTTTGGCGCATGCCGCTGGAGGATGGCCCCTCCGTTTGGCATGGGCAGAGAAAAGTGAAGGGAGACGCGGGTGTGGTTGGTTCTCCTTTTTTGCCGGGATTGTATACTATATTTCTAAATATGTATCATCCAATCTGCCCTCATCTCTTTTTTAGGGTGAACTCCTTGTGTTTTTGAGGAACCCCCTGTTTCTGGGGGTGATATTTTACAGGAACAAAGGGCTTGCTTCTTTGTTTGAGGATATTCTTTGGGGGCGTAGTAGACAACCCAAGGGAAACCAACCATTCGGAGTCCCATTTTGGATGAAGCATCGCTGTTGGAAATCATGGGCTTGCAGCTTGCACTCCTGCAGGTCAACATGGAAACCGAAAAATGATTGTTTGGGAGGAATCTCCCGGGACCCCGGGTTGCATGATGATCTGCAGGGGAGTAGTTTTCCTATAATTGATGATCATGATGTCTCTGAAGGATCGGAAGTCAAGCCAGGCTTCACGAGACACGCGTTGGCAGTTGTGACTTTGTCACGTTTTCCAGAAGCTGTGCTCCTCGCTTCACATTGTGTCCATTCGCTTGACCGAGACCAATAGCCGCCACCCTCAGGTTATTTCGAGCAGCTCAAGAGCGACTTCGCAGACATGAAAAATGCGGGAACCAGGTGGGGCGGTTCCATTACTGCGGCTCTCTTCCTGCAGAAGTTCATTCAGAAGGACGCGGTCTCTTCTGACAGTGGCTAAAGTAGGTGGGCAAGTCTTCCAAAACGACTCGATGTACAGCTTGACATGCTGTGAGCTACTTTCAGTCGAGTCCGAACCGTACTGAAGAGAAAATTGTGGGATGTGACAGGGGCTCATGACTTGATTCAAAGCCGCTTCTTGGGCACACATACAGACTGTGCGAGGACATGAACTGGGCGCACTTGGACATTGCCGGCGCTGACTATGCAGAGAAGGTGAAGGGCGTGAACAATGTTGGAGGAACTGGGGTGATGGTGCGCACGCTGACTGACTTCGCCTGCAAAAAGTGAGAGAAGGCACTAGCGCTCAAGTAGCGGCTTTCGCCCAAAGAAGGCGCGTTTGAGAAATGCTGCATAGATATAGGGAGCATGTCGCGTGAAGCATGACTTTGTGTGCAGTTTTTGCCTTTGTTCAGTGAGTTTGCAGCACACGTGATAAATACACTGCACCCAGCTCACCCGAACAGGTCATTTGCACTGTCACATGTGTACATTTGAGTGAAAGTAGACCGCACAATTCCCCCCTTTTTCGTTCAGCAACTCCCTTTTCTTACTCGGCCCGGTTTATGCCCACTGCCTGTTGCGAGTTTCGAACCCAAGGTATGATCGCCAAGCTGAAGATGAAGCCTGGCACCCAAGTGGTCGATGGTCACCGAGTTGGCTCACACAGCCCCGGCTGCAAGTTGTTCCCGTCTTCGACGCCATGACTGTAGAATGCAGGCTGTTTCGGCGCGGTTTCCCAAAGCCGCACCATAACTTGAAGCTTTTTATGGAAGGAGCCAAGATGAAATGATAAGAAGCGGGGAAAAAAGACGACTACCTGCGCTGTCTTTGCTTATCAGGGTTGTTTTTCATGCCGACAGGCATGGCCTGGGTAAGTCCCGGGAGCAGTGCCAGTCAGCTGCTTCTTGTGAGGCATTGCAAGGGTAGTGCTCAATCCGCTGAATTCAAAAGAGGTCTTGGCTTATGATCCTCAGGAATTTTGCAGTTCGAAGCAAGTCATCGGTATCCTCTTTTGGTGATGCCAGCGCAGGAAGTTTGTTGGGTTTTCTTGAACTTTCCTTCAGGTTGCCCAGGTTTGACCCTTGATCGCGTATTTGGATGGGTAGAATCCGTGCCTTCCGTGCAGGTGCGGTGCTCAGTTCACCTCCAAGCTGGAGGGCGCCTTTGACGCGTTTCAGGGGAGGGGGTGACATGGATAGCTTCCAACTCACATAGAACCGGGCAAATGATAGCAATACGCCACGTGGGGGTTTGCGACGTCACTCATGGTGAACGTCCAATTCACAGGATTCCCAGATAGAACCTGACCGGAGGTCTGTGCATTAGGCAACCTTCTTGTGGGTTCCATGTTGGATGGCAGGGTCACTCCAACCGTGGATGTGGGATCTGCAAGTTGGACAGAGCCATTCAGATGATGTTCCACGCACCAGTAAGCAAATTGAGGAATCTGGAGGGTGCCAAGACAGGTGAGCACCTGAAGGGTCTGACACCTCTGGGATGTTGGATGCCAGGGGAAGTACCTCTGGAGTGAGCAAGCACCAATCTCGGCTGATAAAGGCTTCATCACCTCTTCCATTTGTTGCTTGCTTGATGCAATGGTGAAAACTCGTCACACCGGGCTGCCCTCACCCAACAGCTAGGATGCATTCCAGGCTCCCCAAGGCGAAGTCCCAGATGTGGCACCAGGATATTTTTCTTCTATGCGCGTTTGGATGTGCTGTGGACAAGGTGGACCTCATTGGTTTCCCTGGCACTTTTCGCAACTAGTAACTAGCCGTGCATCTGATTTTGGGCCAAAGTGGCAGCGGGATCACACAGTTGCTCTGTCTGCGCTCTCCTGATTTTTGGCTTCGGGCTTGATTTGATGCTTCCCATTGGTTGTGACCTGGGATGCAATGAGCTGTTGGAAAGACAAGCCGCATCTCGAGTTTGAGCGCTTTTGCAGGTGTTGGGTTCCACAAGTTTTGCCTAAGCGCGTGCAAGGCATGTTGACGGACCTGTCTTTGGCCCTTGACACGCAGAAGGACTTCAAGTCCGGCGCTGAGATTTGTTGTTTTTTGTGATGTCGATGGCTTCTGGTCAGGTGGGGGTTTGGTTGAAATTTGCCATAGTCCGTGGTCAATTTGGGATGGGGACTGACCCAAAGTTCCGCCGTACAACAGGGGAACTCACGAGTTTTTTTCCCATGGCACGTGTGGGGACTTGGCCTTGGAGGCCTCAAGAATAAGGGTGGTGGGGATTCAACATGACACAATCACGAGCCTTTGAACAATCTAATAAGCAATGCGAACTCAAGGCTCTCCATCATCAAGCATGAGATTTGTAGGGGGGGGGGCACGTTGGGCGACTGAGGGAGCACTGCGAGCGGTTGCCAGAGGGCAAGGCGCGGGCAGCATGGGCATCGTGGACTGAGACGGACGAGGGCTTTTCTGTTTGCATGGTAGCTTCCTATGAATTATGGATTGCCTCAGTTGAAAGGCCCTTCAATTTGAATGAAAGGGCTTGCGTACTTCATCAGAACTGTCATATCTGACTCTACAGGTGCTGCTTACATTTGTACATTTCGATGTTTTGCATTTGTGTGTGGTAAGTGGGAACCACCCAAAAGGCTGACCTGCAAGCAGTGGTGGTGCTGCATAGCAAAAGAGGCAGTGCTGAGCTGCTGGGCAGGTGCGCATGGGAAGGTGAAAGTGGGCAGAAGACCCGAATACAATGTGGTTGGTTGGTTGGTTGATTGGTTGGTTGGTTGGTCGGTTGGTTGGTTGGTTGAAGGGTGGGCATCCGTAGATGCTCGGTTCCGAATCCTGATCCCCCATTGTCGTACACCCTCCGCAAAGGCAGAAATGCGGCTGGTTTGAGAACATGCAAGCCTCGTCCTCTGCATCAAAGAGAAGCCAAACGGAAGTTGCTCGAACAACGATGGTTTTAGCATGTTGAAAACAAGGGGCTGGCCAAACCCTGCTCAACCTCCCATTGATGCATGGTGGCAGGGCCTATTGTAAGCTCTTCATGGTGGCATAGGAAGGTGCTTGTTCTGCAGGCCGCATGGACCCCTGCAGCACGCAGTTTTCTGCAATAGGTGGTGATTATTTGGCATTAATGCCGATCCTAGTGAAGGATCTGTTCTTAAATAGAATGAACGAGGGGTTTATGAATCCTGGGTTCCCAGTACCCTCACTGCCCATCAATATCTCAGCTGCGCGTAATTGGCAATTAAGCGGCGATCTCTGGTAAATCGGCTCCTCGCCAGGGTGCGCTGGGCGGAATCGACTTCAACGTTACAGTGCTGACCACTGGATTTTGGCCCTCCTATCAGGCGACGGTGCACATCACGGAGGGTCATGGCGGTTTCTCAAAATAGGCTTGCCCAAGACCCTTTGGGTTCCCGAGAAATGCCAACCAAAAAGGGTGGGTAGCCTTTTTAGGTTAGTTTAAACGGCAAGCAAGAGGAACCCTGAGGCTAGGAAGGTTTTCGGGCTTGTGGGCTGTGGGCGGGGGTCTTTCGTTGCGAATGCGTTCACGGAGCTCTCGCAACTTCCCATGTGCTTCCCCTTTCTGCCCCTGTGCACGGCAACCAGTCGGGACCAGTCGTGATTGAACTCGGGGAGCTTTGGGTTGGGGGTGGAACGAGCTGGGCTTGGAGCTTTCTGTTGCCCAGGTGCAGGAAGCCAGCCTTTGCCCTGAGATGCAGAAGGCCGGACGTACTTTTGGCCTTGGGAATGTGTTGCGGAACCGCGTGATTTGTGGACAGCTCCTCAAGGCGATCGCAGTCCAGTCATGACCTCTACGCATGCTGTATGCCTCATAAAGAGGTCGATATCAGCCGCGAAATGTTACCCTGTTATCCAGCCAAATGGCCCATGCTTTTTTGTTTAAAGGATCAGCTGACTACTGGCTCGTGTTAGGCATGGTTGCTCAGGCTGCTGCTGTTCAGCAGATGAGAAGGTAGCGTCCCAAACCAACCCCACAGCCGCATGGTTCTTTGGGAGGCACAGGGTTTGTTTGTTTGTTTGTTTGATTTTAAATGATTTTAAGGCACCCTTATTGGGTTTTGTCCTCAAGGGAAGCCAACCATTATGAGGGTTGCGCCATTTGTAGAGCAACTGTGAACTTCCGCCTCAGGCCATCCAAGTCTTCAGCAACTACTACAATGCGCGGATCTCGGCAAGGGCCTTCCCGCTGGCAAAGGTCATTTGCTGGCAAGCAGATATTCCATATACTGTGATTGGGGCCTCTTTAGAGAATATTCTGTATTCAAGGTTGATTACATTAACTAGACGACGGGTGGCCCGGAAGCGAAGCAACACGTTGAATCAACTCTGACGCCTCCCCCACCTCATGAGAAACAAAGCGTAAACACGTCAATGTCCCTGCTCAAGCCTAGCCTCTGCAAGTTCTGATAAGCAAGCTTAGCATCGTGCTTCGCAAAATATCGTGTCAGTTTCTGTTGCGCGCGATGTTGTGAGTTGATGCTGTGCTGCGCATGTTGTTGCAAATCATGCTGAGCGTGACGTGACGCTGTGCGTGATGTTGCCCATGATGCTCTACAACACCTCTTGTCCACTCTTTGTGCCCGTTTCTTTTGTCAACCTCTCTTGTCCAAATCAGTGCGCAGTTTGGCTGCACAGGAAGGCTGTTTTTAGCCACGGAAGTGTACTTCGCACAGTACTTTTGCGTGCGTAAGTTGAGATTTTCAAGCTGGAGGTGCGCAAGTGCAACTGGGTGTTTCTTTTGCGCTTTACAGTTGCAAGTTGCGAGCTGGACAAGATGGAGTGCACTCTCCGAACATTACTTCTGCGCTTAAAAACTGTGATTTTCGAGCTGGGGCTGCGAGAGCGCACTGCGCGCACGACCTTTGCGTATAGAAACTTAGAGATGTTTCAGCCGCAGCTGCGGGATTGCACTCGCGCGCCACTTTTGTACTTAAAAGTTGCGATTCTTGAGCCAGAGCCATCGGAGCGCACTATCGTACTACTTTGGTACACAAAAAAGTTTCCATTTGCGATCCGGAGCTGCGTGAATGCTCTTAGCGTGCTGCTTGCGTGCTTGAGACTTGCGTTTTTAGCCGGAGCTGCGTCGCGTGCTACTTTTGCACTCAAAACTTGCGATCTTAAATCCTGAGCTGCGAAGCTCTTCGCGTGCTGGTTGCGTACTTGGAACTTGCGTTTTCAGCCGGAACTGCGGGAATGCGCTTCGCGTACTACTTTTGTACCCAAAATTTGCGGTTTTGCAGCCAGAGCTGTGGCAGCGCAGATTCCGCACTATATTTTTGTACTTGAGAGTTCTACTTTGGTACTTAAAACTTGCGAATTTCGAGCCAAAGCTGCGGGAGTGCTCTTTGTGTACTTCTTTTGTATTCAGAAACTGCGATTTTGCGGCCGGAGGTCTGGGAATGGACTGCTCTCTGCGTAGTACTTTTGTACTGAGAAGTTGCGAATTACGAGCCGGAGATGCGGGAGTGCACTTCGTGTAGTACTTTTGTACGTAAAAATTGGCAGTCGGAGCTCTGGGAATGCTCTTCACGTACTACTTTGCACTTTCAACTTGCAAGCTTTCAGCCGGAGCTGCGGAAATGTACTTCGCGCACTACTTTGTGCTTAAAAGTTGCGAATTTCGAGCCGGAGCTGCAGGAGTGCGCTTCGCGTACTACTTTTGTACGTAAAAGGTGCGATTGTGCAGCGGGAGCTGCGGGAGTGCGCTTCGTGTGCTACTTTTGTACAAAAAAGTTTGGATTTTGCAGTCGGAACTGCGGGTCGCGCACCGCTTTTGTGCACAAAAATACAATTCGTGAGCCAGAGCCACGGGAATGTACTTCGCGCACGACTGTTGTACTAAACAATAACGATTTTCAATGCTGAGCTGCAATGCTCTTCGCGCGTTGCTTGTGTGCTTGAAACTTGCGAGTTCAGCCGGAGCTGTGGGAACGCACTTTGCGTAGCACTTTTGTACTCCAAAGTTTCCATTTTCCAACCAGAGCTGCGGGAGCACAGTTTCCGTACTATTCTTTGGTACTTGAGAATTGTTATTCTTGAGCCGGAGCTGAAGCGGACCAGGGGGGAATCGAACCCGCGACGCCGCGATTGCGGAAGCAGGCAAGCAAACCACGAAACAACTTTAAAGACCATTCGCAAGCAGCGAAAGCAAGACAATTCGCACGGCCCCGCAGCGAGAGGACAAGCACGATTTCCGCGCTTCGACACGCACGATCCGCAGAGGGTTCGCCGCGGTCAAAGTCGCACGGCGCAACAGCGAGAGCGCTTCGACCTGCACGATAGCCGCAGAGGGTTTGCCGAGGACAAGACAAATTCGCACGGCGCCACTGCGAACGCGCTTCGACACGCGGATCTCCGCAGAGGGCTCGCCGAGCTCAAGACAAATTCGCACGGCGCCACAGCGACAGCGCTTCGACACGCACAATCTCCGCAGAGGGTTCGCCGCGGTCAAATTCGCACGGCGAGCTCAAGACAAAGTCGCACGGCGCCGCAGCGCGAGCGCCTCGACAAGCACGATCTCCGCAGAGGGCTCGCCGAGCTCAAGACAAATTCGCACGGCGCCACAGCGACAGCGCTTCGACACGCACAATGTCCGCAGAGGGTTCGCCGCGGTCAAATTCGCACGGCGAGCTCAAGACAAAGTCGCACGGCGCCGCAGCGCGAGCGCCTCGACAAGCACGATCTCCGCAGAGGGCTCGCGGAGCTCAAGACAAATTCGCACGGCGCCACAGCGAGAGCGCTTCGACACGCACGATCCGCAGAGGGTTCGCCGCGGTCAAGACAAATTCGCACGGCGCCACAGCGAGAGCGCTTCGACACTTACGATCTCCGCAGAGAGCTCGCCGAGCTCAAGACAAATTCACACGGCGCCACAGCGACAGCGCTTCGACACGCACGATCTCCCGCAGAGGGTTCGCCGTGGTGAAATTCGCACGGCAGCGAGAGCGCTTCGACACTCACGATCTCCGCAGAGGGTTCGCCGCGCTCAAGACAAGTTCGCACGGCGCCACAGCGAGAGCGCTTCGATGCGCGCGATCTCCGCAGAGGGCTCGCCGCGCTCAAGACAATTTCGCGCGGCGCCGCAGCGAGAGCGCTTCGACACGCACGATCTCTGCAGAGGGGTTCGTTTGTAAGCTCCCGTCGGGCCTACCCCCGCCAGAAAAAGAAGAGCTAAGAGTCGAGACGTGAAGGTGCAAGAGAAAAGTTAGCTTGTGTTTTTAGGATAGTGAAGTAACACCCGAAAAGTTAGCTTGTGCTTTTAGAATAATGAGACAACGCCCGAAAAGTTGACGCGACAAGTTGGCTGGTGAAGTAACTATGCACAAGTTGGCATGAGAAGTTGGCAGGTGTCATAACTCTCGAGAAGTTGGCAGGCGAAGTTGGCAGGTGAAGTTGACATGAGAAGTTAGCAGGTGAAATACCTCTCAAAAAGTTAGCATGAGACGTTGGCAGGTGAAGTAACTCTCGCAATGTTGGCATGAGAAGTTGGCAGGTGAAGTAGCTCTCGAAAAGTTGCCATGAGAAGTTGGCAGGTGAAATAACTCCTCGGCAAGTTGGCACGAGAAGTTGGCAGGTGAAGCTTGCAGCCGCTTGTAGAAGAAGAACCCTTTGCAATGCTTCCGGGTAAAACCCTGAGAAACAGGCTTTTGGCTCAAGGATTGTTCTTCGCACGGGTGCATGGAAAAAGTCCTATGTCAGATGAAAGTTTGACCGGCAAAGGCCGCAGCTGTGGACGTTGAGGCCCCAAACAACTCGCCCTCTGGCTCAAGGCCTTGATCAAGGAATTGCTTTCGATTCGTGGAGTTTGATTTTGCTCCTTGGTCTCCGTCCTGATACCCCTCTCCCCTCTCCCCCAAAACTAGACGACGGGTGGCCCGGAAGCAAAGCAACACGTTAAATCTCCCCCACCTCATGAGAAACAAAGCGTAAACACGTCAATGTCCCTGCTCAAGCCTAGCCCCTGCAAGTTCTGATGCTTGCATGCTTGAGACTTGCGAGCTGCGGGAATGCGTTTTGCGTGCTACTTTTGTCCTCAAAACTTGCGATCTGAAATCCTAAGCTGCAATGCTCTTCGCATGCTGGTTGCGTACTTGGCACTTGCGTTTTCAGCCGGAGCTTGCGGGAATGCGCTTCGCGTACTACTTTTGTACCCAAAATTTGCGATTTTGCAGCCAGAGCTGTGGCAGCTCAGTTTCCGCACTATATTTTTGTACTTGAGAATTCTACTTTGGTACGTAAAACTTGCGAATTTCGAGCCAACGCTGCGGGAGTGCTCTTTGTGTACTTCTTTTGTATTCAGAAATCGCGATTTTGCGGCCGGTGCTCTGGGAATGGAATGCTCTCTGCGTACTACTTTTGTATACTTAGAAGTTGCGAATTTCGAGCCGGAGCTGCAGGAGTGCGCTTCGCGTACTACTTTTGTACGTAAAAGGTGCGATTGTGCAGCGGGAGCTGCGGGAGTGCGCTTCGTGTGCTACTTTTGTACTCAAAAGTTTTGATATTTGGAGCCACAACTGCGGGAATGTTCTTCGCGCACTACTTCTGTACACAAAACTTGCCATTCATGAGCCAGAGCCACTAGAATGTACTTCGCGCAACACTGTTGTACTAAACAGATACGACTTTCAATTCTGAGCTGCAATGCTCCTCGCGCGCTGCTTGTGTACTTGAAACACGATCTCCGCTGAGGCCAAGAAAATTCGCACGGCGCCACAGCGAGGGCGTTTCGACACGCACGATCTCCGCAGAGGGCTCGCCGAGCTCAAGACAAATTCGCACGGCGCCACAGCGACAGCGCTATCGACACGCGCAATCTCCGCAGAGGGTTCGCCGCGGTCAAATTCGCACGGCGAGCTCAAGACAAAGTCGCACAGCGCCGCAGCGAGAGCGCCTCACAAGCACGATCTCCGCAGAGGGCTCGCCGAGCTCAAGACAAATTCGCACGGCGCCACAGCGAGAGCGCTTCGACACGCACGATCCGCGGAGGGTTCACCGCGGTCAAGACAAATTCGCACGGCGCCACAGCGAGAGCGCTTCGACACTTACGATCTACGCAGAGAGCTCGCCGCGCTCAAGACAAATTCGCACGGCGCCACAGCGAGAGCGCTTCAACACGCACGATCTCCGCAAAGGGTTTGCCGCGCTCAAGACAAATTCGCACGGCGCCGCAGCGAGAGCGCTTCAACACGCACGATCTCCGCAGAGGGTTCGAGGCGCTCAAGACAAGTTCGCACGGTGCCACAGCGAGAGCGCTTCAACACGCACGATCTCCGCAGAGGGTTCGCCGCGCTCAAGACAAATTCGCACGGCGCCGCAGCGAGAGCGCTTCGAGACACGCACGATCTCTGCAGAGGGGTACGTTTTGTAAGCTCCCGTTGGGCCTACCTCCGCCAGGAAAAGAAGAACTAAGAGTCGAGAAGTGAAGGTGCAAGAGAAAAGTTAGCTTGCGCTTTTAGAAGAATGAGATAACACCCGAAAAGTTGACGTGAGAAGTTGGCTGGTGAAGTAACTATCCACAAGTTGGCATGAGAAGTTGGCAGGTGACTGACATAACTCGGTGAAGTTGACATGAGAAGTTAGCAGGTGAAATAACTCTCAAAAAGTTAGCATGAGATGTTGGCAGGTGAAGTAACTCTCGAAACGCTGGCACGAGAAGTTGGCAGGTGAAGTAACTCTCGAAAAGTTGCCATGAGAAGTTGGCAGGTGAAATAACTCCTCGGCAAGTTGGCATGAGAAGTTGGCAGGTGAAGTTTGCAGCCGCTTTTAGAAGAACCCTTCGCAATGCTTCCGGGGAAAAGAGAAGATATCCCCTTGCCCCCGAAAGCAACATGGCCATCCCTTTGCTCAGTCGCCTTCCCTTAGGGGAAGACGCAGCACCGGCGGCTGCAATGGATCCATTCCCTGGGCCAGGCGGGCGGACACCGACCAAACGAGCCATCGGGGTGAACAGGCAAGCACATTGGGCATATAAGGCTATATATGTTGGGTGTATACAAACATATATGCACACAATCCTAAGGAAAAACAACAAGTTGATTTAAGCATCCTTCCGAGAAAATCATCAGTAAGCAACGCGCGCACCAAAAGCAACAGAAAACAAGGAAAGGCCACCATGGAGATTCCTCCAAGCACCGCAAAGGATGGATATCCGGCTGCGGAACATGCGAGTAAGGTTTGGGTTGGCGGACTATTTCCTCAGACATTTCCCGGGTAAGCGAAGGTTGGCAAGGGACAGTCTGTATGATTAAGCGTTTCAGGGGGGAAAATGGACGCTGGGGTTGTCCATTTTTTTTCTCCCTTGCATGGTTTCGGGAACCCCCCTGTGCCAGGTTTTGATTCTGGCTGAATAAGCCAGCAGCACATGGGTTGTTCCAAAACTGGGGATCCGAATTGCCCCTGAGATCTTTGGCTTTTGCAAGGTGATTGATTTTTGGCTAGTTCGGGAAGTGGCTTCTGACCCTCGGATGGTGCCCTCACCAACTGGGTTGGTGGACACAACAACCTACTTCTGACGTCCACCAAAGGGTTCCCAATCAAAAGTAAAATCCAGTTCTCCCACCCCATGACAAGTATATTATAGCGCAACGGCAAACATGATGTTCATTTGCCACCGAGGGTTGCTCCGAGCCGCCAATGTCCCAAATATTGCAAGTAAACTAACCACAAACCATGGGAATGTATGGGGTTTCCCTTTTTGCAGTACTTCGGGCATCCACCATATCAAAATTGGCAGAGGCTTTTCCTTTGTTTCCCTTTTGCCAATTGCTGCTCTTGTGCTGGTTGCTTTCCCACTGCCTCAAATGGGGTAGCAATACAAACGGTCTGTTCACTTGGCATAGAAGATCTTCAAGATGGTCGCCATAGAACCACTCATCCTTCCAAAAGCAAACATGGAACCTGAGAAGGGCCAACTGCTTTCTTTCTCCGGATTTGTTGACATGTTTGGCCTTTTTGTGGAATCCACCCAGGTTGCTTGTTTCTTGGGATCGCCGGAAGGGTTTTGCTGTGTACAGGCGACCATCGCCGCCAAGCTGAATGGCCGCAGGCCGCTTCTTGCAACAGCCGCGACGCCTCGTCGGATTTTCTCTTATTCCGAAACTGGGATATCCTGCAAAAGGTTGTTTTTGTTGCAGTGCTTTGGGAGACGATCAAAAGGTGCTTGATGATAACACGCACCCTTCTGTTTGCCTTTCATTTTCTGCAGCCAGTGTTGCTGCAAGTTGGGGCCGAAGGTTGGCTTCGCGTGTCACTTTGAAAAGCCCGCGAAGGCATCAAGGACAGTTCGCATTTGGGATGTCGCGAAGGCCTGAGTGGCCTGAAGGAAACACATCAGGGACGGCGCAAAGAGTTCACAACATCTGGCCGCCTTTCCTCGCAGCATTGCAAATGGCCTCCCCGGCGAGCAGACCAAGAGATACCTACAAGCAAGGGACCTTCATCGTGGGAGAGCTCGTTTTGACCCCAGGTGAGCTCGTTCTAATTTGCCCCCGCCTGCTTCTGTAGATCTGTCCAGAGACGACGATCACGGTTCTTTTCATTTGTAAGGTGCAAATAACTATTGGTCCAACACAGAAGTGGAGCACAAAGGAAACCCTATACAACTATCAGCTGGTAATTTGTGCACCTGTGCAAGAGGGGCTCGCATGTCGAAAGGATCAGCCATTGATGTCTAGCCGATTGAGCCAAACACTTGCTAGCCGAGCCAGGCATGATCTCATCGTCAACTCCTATCAGGCCTGGGGAATGTTAGATTGTCATGCAGTCCTCAAAATGAAGATTATTCCTTAGTTTCCCTTGGTGTCCTGAAACAGACAACTGCAAAACAACACACCCGCGTATGCATGTGTTCGCGTTTGTTTCGCCAAATATGACTTTGTTGGCGTTCTTTCACATGTGCAGTGTCCAAAACTTTGGCTGCTTCTGCCAGCAGCGAAGTCGGTCTCTGAAGATTCACATGAGTCACGACAATATGATTGGTAGTTTATTTACACGAGAAGGGGGGGCTTGTCCAATCTTTTCCTACATCTAGCGGGACTGGCCCCAGCCCCATTTTGGCGATGTCCTCTTAGCTCAAATGGAAGTTTTCCTCCAGCCCCAAGGAAGGAGAGGGGAAGGGTATCGCAGTCCAACTTTTCTTTGGAGACGTTCCAGTTGAAATCAACGAGGGTTCCCCTTCTTTTCTCCCCTATTCTACCGGAGGTTTGGGTCACAAAGCGTGTGAGTTTGCCGCCGAAATCACCCATGAGGGCTTCTTCGGGGTCCAATTCTTTTCTTTTTTGGTCTGGATATAAATCGTCAATGTCCTGGGTTGGGGAACAGTGGCTTGGCAAAGTATGCCCTTTCACAAGTGTTTGGATGGGTCAGTTCTTATTCACCAGCAGGGGTCCCTACGCAGCCCTCGTAAGGCAGTCTAAGAGAATCCCCAGGTTTCCCAATGTTTTCCTATGTTTCCCCATGATCCGTTTCCCCCGCTTCACCCCAGACCGATCCAACGCACGGGTTTCGCAGGCGTTGATCTTGCTGCTCTTCACCCGGGATGAGGCGCACAACCTGAGCTTTATCCAGGCAGGAGCTGGGAAGACATGTGTTTGGTCACTTTTGATCTGCATGCAGTTGGTACGGCTTGTTGGACCCCCATGAGATTCCCTTTAACCCAAAGGATACCTCAAAAACAAGCACCACATCCACGATGTGCCAGGGTCAACCCACTGAGAAGGCCTTGTAGGGATGGTCAAGGGCTGTACAGGGAGCTTGAGGTTTGACCGTTGTGCGGAGCGGACCATTTTGGACCCCTGAAACGCGATTCAGCTTCCTCTTGGTTCACTTTCCAGCAGCTCAAAATGGGTGAGGAAGGGGGCCGGCCCGCATGGTCTCCTGCATCAACTAGTCAGACATGAGAATCATGAGACTATGCAACACTCCTGAGTTGACTGCTTTTCTCTGTGATCACGCGAGAGACAAGCAGCGAGTACTGCCCTCAGTTGATTTGCCTATAGATGTATCTGTTATTTGGGAGTATTGCCTCCCCCGAAATGTTTGAAGCAAGCCCTTGTCCGTGCCACGGCTTCAACTTTCAGATTCATCAGCTCATGTTGCGTCCTTTGGTGGGCATTGAACGAGTTTTGGCTAGCGGTCGGCGACACTGGGTGAAACTTGGCGAAACTTGCTGACAATAAGGGAAACTTGGCACCCCCCAACACTACGCACGCGGCCAGAATTCGACGGGCTTGGAGCCCGGCATGTGCAAGAAGCGGGGGCCCTAGCAACAGCGTGATAGTGCGTCTGCCGGTATATTGTCTTCATCCAAGTGGATGGCTCCTTGAGGGGTGCTCCTACATTTGAGAATGGCCGAGTGGTAGACTCCCAGCTGCTTCTTGGACGGACGGATGCAGTGGCTCAGTCTTGAGGGTAAAATGTTGGGTTCCAGTTTCCAGAGCTGCAAACAGCAATTACGACGGCGATTCAGCACCTGGCGTAGAGGGCGAAAGTTTTGGTGACCTGGAGTTTCCCCCCGCTTGCACATGACCTGTGCCCTTTGCTCAACTGATGGTGGTCACTGGGTTTGGGTTTGAACACTGGGTGTTGCCAAATTGCAACGTAAATGCTGTGTTGGGTTGAAAACTATCCAGGGGTCGCTGATCGGTTCGCGAGGGCGGGTTGGCCCGTGGTTGTGCCATTTGTTTCTTTTTCAGCACGCAAACAGGGGTCAAAAGTCCAACGAAGAAAGTCATTCTGTCACTGTTTCTGGGGGGTATCAAAGTCAGCAACTGGGGCTGTTTCCCTAAACCGATGCCAGCGGAACGAAGGATCACCCTTCCCGTTTTCTCTTGAAGCTGGCCGCTGCTAGGCTTCTGGCAACGCTTTCGATTGCCAAGTCCAGCCGGGCATGTGTTTTTTCTTGCTGCTGGGGTGCTCTCAACCAGGCGTGGTTGGCTCCAACGGACTGGATGTTGAATCAGCTCATCGGTTTAACCTCAAACGTCAGTGGGCGCTGGATGATGAGCAGATTAAAGGCACAAGCTGCTAGCAAGCACTAGTTGGAGTTGGGAGCTGTACAAATTGCTGGCAAATTTTGGGCCAGTTGACTGAGTCCCGTCCCTGTCCACGTGCCAGGTTCAAGATCTTGAGCAAGACGGGCGATCTCAAAACCATCGAGGCAAGGAGTTGAGCCCGACACAGGGAAGAGAAGGGCGACCAGGCTTATCTTACCTTGTAACTGTTTTGTCTTTCTGGTTTTTCATCATTCCCGCCTGCCTGCAACATGTTCCGTTTGGGGGATCTGTCCGGCCCAGATGAGACACGTCGCCAGGATGACGCCTCCTTCGCGCCCAATGATAGCTTCCAGTCGCCAGCCTTGAAATGAACAGGTGGCACTGCCATTACGTCGCAAAACCCATAGGGGAGCCCTGGTTGTACAGAGAAGGACACCCGCCTCCAGATTCCTTCGATGTTTGGTCCTTTGATTTTTGGGAACCACCGAAGTCATTTTGTCCGCTCAATTGCACATCTGTTGCAAGGGCTGCGGACCGAGGTGCCAGCACCGGAAAATCAAGATTCCGCCTCCCGTGACCGAGGAGACGCACAACAAGGCGGGCTACATGCGAGCCGCTCAATTTCCAAAGATCCCATGCAACACCCACATTGTCAAGACGGAGCAAGTCTGCCATCCATGGTAAGAAGGTATATGAGCAGTCTGATCTTCCAGCATTTGTGGCTCACGATACAAGACATCATGGCCAGCCAAGCATTTTTGGTCGCTGACAGCATAAATGAGACAGGACAGCCGAGTGGCACAGTAGTGGCGTGTCAACGACTGATGCACAGCCACAAGACCATTTCTGACCCCCAGACTGGCCACGCTCGTCTCGTTGGATGCTCGTTTTGTTGGTTTCGATTTGCTCCCCTCAATCTGGGGGGCAGCCCCCCTTTTGACAGATTCCAAGCCCCTTGAGTTCCATTTACTCTTGTTTTTTCCCTTTTGCGGAGCAGACTAGAAAAATGGAATTGGTGCACCCCCACCCCTCCCAGGAAAGGGTGCTGCCCCCGAGCGCCCGAGGAGCGTGTGGAGGAGGATCGATCAATTGCCATCGAGGCGGCCATTGTGCGAATCATGAAGATGAGAAAGACGCCGGGAGCCCAAGCTCGAGCATGGAGACGGGTTGAGCATGGCTTGAAAACGGCAACAAAAGGTAGCATTGCTTGTAACAGCCACTGCCTGGTAGAAGCTGGTAGACCAGGAGTTGAAGGATCGAAATGCGGGGTGACGGCAGACAGATCCAAGGATCGGACCGCAGAGACTGGAGCACGAAAGGGGGCTCCAAACCTTCGAAACCTTGATGGGCGATCCCTTCACAGATATGCCCGATGACGATGACGGTGTCGACGTACCAGTCTGGTGTTGCGCCTCTTGCGGCTCAATTCTATTAGATTTGGCTCACGGTGCCTGGCAAGCTGGCAGGGGCAAGTTCGTTGACCCCCAAAGTTCTCTTCCAAGCCTTGCGCTTGGGCGACCACAAAACACATCTGTTTTGTGATCTCACTGTACCGGGCGTCAAACAAGACCCATCCCAAGGCTGAATCATCAGCAGCTCGTCACCGAGGCGAAAGGGGCTGTGAGTCGATCAAAGGTAAAAAGCAAACAAATGCGTCCAAACAAGAAAGGGGGCCTTGTTGGGATGTTCAAAGCGACGTCAACACGAAACCGCACGGCTTTGCGGGTCCGACACGTGCAGAGTTTTGATCCTGGGAATCAGCCAAGACTTGGCCTAGATCAGCAACAGGCAACAAGGCCCCATTGTTGAAATGCTTCTTAGTCCAACAGGGGGACTTGAACACCAGAACTCCGGGCACTGAGCTGATCCCCCGCAATGACGTCCCAAGCGTTCCTGCCAAGTTCCATTTGGGTCATACACTCCTAGGAAACTCCTGTGCTTTCTTCCCTGCAGTCAAATGGTGTCTGGTTCTGGCGCGTCCACAATGTAGCTTCCTTGTAGTTTCCCTTTGAAACCAACAAATAGGCACCCTCGAAAAGTGGCACACCCAAATATCCCAAATGGATCCAGCCTGTCGGACGCCGATCTGGGATCCATGGGCAGGTGCTGACGCAGCTGGCTTTCTTCAAGCCCAATCCCAAACTGGTGAAGCAGAGCCGCTGGGACGCGGACGGACGCTTTCCGGGGGCGATGTGGTCACAAGCACCGGGGGACCCCTTGATCTACGCGCACAAAAATGGGAAGCACACGTCCAAAATGATTGAATTTACTAGTTTCAGTGAGGTGGGAACCATGGCCATGCCCCATTTTGGCACATGTAGGCTGTGTTAGCCTTTGTATCCCCTTTGGAGAGATTGCGCAAAAAACCAGCAAGAAACCGGCAGGAAACCAGCTCAGGGTCCACGCGTTTGTTTTTGGGGCTTCTTGCTGGTGGCGTGAAACGCACCATGAGGCACTCCAGGAAGTAGGCAACTCTTCCCCGCCCAACTCTGGGCCAAGGTGGAGATTCCAGCTCACCCGATCTGAACTTCCAGGGCTGAGGTCCTGATTATGCCCTGGGATGAAAGAGGGTCTTTCAGGTGAGTTCAATTCCAGAGCTATGCATGAATCAGCCGTGTGCACTTGTTCGTCTTCGGCTAGCAACATTGTGCATGCAAACAGTTCTTTGTGTGTGGCTTGGCTCTTCCCAGGTGATGCCTTGGCACGATGATGTGGAAAAACAACGTCTCACTTGCCTTGCACCTTCCCAGCATGAGACTTCACTCTCGTGGCTGAACACCTTTGACAGTCCCGTATTTTGTTCAACCGTCAGGTTTAGAACACAGTGCATTCAGAGTTGGACTGGTTTGCCGTGAGTTGCACGAGGCACCCGAAGGAGCCAACTCAACTGCCCTTTCAACGTCTTGTCATGTGCCCTGCTGATGCGGCAACTCAGGGATCGAACACCTGATCGAACGCGAGTACCTCGAGCGCGACAAGAACCAGGCCAGAGAAATTGTGCAGACCTTGCAAGCGGCTTGAAATAAAAGCTGGCAGACCTGCTGGATTTGAAGGGCTCCAAATATGACTTGGCCAGCAGTGCCACCAGAACTTTCATTTTTTCAACAGGCCCCACTCATTGCTTGATGTGCGCGTTTCCTCGACCTTTGCAAGTCCTCTCCCAAACATGCAAGTTTTCAGCTGCATGGTAGCTTGATGCCCTGCTTTACTACCCCTTCATGATGGTGGATACAGGAAGAATACATTCCAGGGGGCGAAGCCAGTCAAATCACATATTTTAGGAAGCTTGATGGCCTGGCATGTCGCCGTCGGCAAGGAATGGGTAGTGCATGATCCGTCGGTCAACAGATGACGCACCTCTTAGAAGCACATAGTGTCTTTGGTGCCTGCAGGAGCAGGGTGAGCCTCCAGCCTTTTTTGGGCAGGGCATCATTTGCCAAGTCTGGCGATCATTGATCAGCTGCTGATGCTTTGCCCCTGTTCCTGATTTCTCAGAGCCGCTTGATGCAGCTTGTCAGGAATAGACATTGATATGAAAGATCACTCCAAACCAATTGATTTCGTCCAAATTGCTGATTGCCCATCGGGAAGGGGATGAATTCCTGATTGCCCGTCACTGACTCTCGTTGAGATGGGAAGCTGGGAAGCTCAATGAGGGTGTTTGTGTGTCCGCTAACTTTGGAGGGTACCCTTTCCACCTTGGTTCAAAAGGGAACCAGGGGAATGCCGAAGCCCATTTTTCGGGGAACCCATTGTTGTAGCACGTGCCCACCAGGCCTTCCACCTTTGGCCGAGCTATTTGCCAGGCATCCGTTTATCGCTACCTGGCGTGATGTCCCGGCCTCAGTGCCCAGCGATCAGAGACCAGGCTTCCAACCACCCCCGCAAATTCACATGGGTCGACCAAAAAGGCTGTCCCGAAAAGGCGGTTCCTCAAACCATGACGTTTTCTTAAGTTCCATATGTGAATCTGTGTGTGTCTGTGTGTGTCTGTGTCTCTGTGTCTCTGTGTGTCTCTGTGTGTCTCTGTGTGTCTCTGTGTGTCTCTGTGTGTCTCTGTGTGTCTCTGTGTGTCTCTGTGTGTCTCTGTGTGTCTCTGTGTGTCTCTGTGTGTCTCTCTGTGTGTCTCTGTGTGTCTCTGTGTGTCTCTGTGTGTCTCTGTGTGTCTCTGTGTGTCTCTGTGTGTGTCTCTGTGTGTCTCTGTGTGTCTCTGTGTGTCTCTGTGTGTCTCTGTGTGTCTCTGTGTGTCTCTGTGTGTCTCTGTGTGTCTCTGTGTGTCTCTCTCTGTGTCTCTCTGTGTCTCTCTGTGTCTCTCTGTGTCTCTCTGTGTCTCTTTGTGTCTGTGTGTCTGTGTGTCTCTGTGTCTCTGTGTCTCTGTGTCTCTGTGTCTCTGTGTCTCTGTGTGTCTGTGTGTCTGTGTGTCTGTGTGTCTGTGTGTCTGTGTCTGTGTATGCGTATGTATGTGTATGTGTGTGTGTTTTTGCAGGTGCGCTTGCTAAAAGGGAGAACCCGAACAACGCTTAATGCCACTTGATACCCTTTCAGCACCATCCAAAAAGAGGCCCCCCCCCCCCCCCCCGAGGCATTTTGGCGGATAGTTTTTCTGTGCCCAGTGGCCTAGGACTGACAGGGACTGTTCGCGTCCCCGGTTTGCAGTCATAGCCTCCCGAGGCCCAGTACCATGGGCATGCTTGTTTTGAGAGTACCCTTTTTTGGATTGGTTTCGAAGGAAACCAAAGGGAAAGCCAACCATTTTGTTGGGTCGCCCTATTTTGGCACGTACCCAAACAGGCCCTACTGTCCTCTTTGAAACGTCTGAGGCTGGCAATGTTTGGAGATGTGCATGCGCCCGAGGCACGCTCGCCTGCAAAGTCTCACCCTGTCACTGCATCTTCCACGCAGCGACAGCGGGCCGACGCCGGGACGCGCGACATGCGATGACAAATAGATGGTGCAGACAAGCTGCCAGAGGGAAAAGACCTTTTGGTCCCGGCTCAGCTGTCGGGCTCGGGTGTTGCAGGAACACCTCCCGAAAAAGGGGGAAAGGTCAAGATTCCGGAGCGGAAAGTATAATTGTTCAGGAGACACTTGTACAAGGTGCCCAAGATGACAGGCGTGTTTTTCGTGTTTCAGGAAAGGGGGAGAACAATCCTGGCAATAAACACGCATGTCTTGGCAAATCATAGCAACACAACAAAGGAAGCTGCTGGCTCAACGCCTCCCAACGGGCGCGGCTGGCACGACCGATTTGGGGCCATGGTCGCATGGCAGGAGAAGGATGGAGCCCTCAGCGGCGATCGCTGCATATCGGTTTGTATTGGTCTTGATATAACCCTAGTCGGAGTAGGTAGTTGAAGCACGGCTAGGGGTTTTGAGCACAGCTTACCTGCGTTCACTTGTCTTGTAAGGTTGCCGGGTGAGATGCTGCTGGTTGTTCTTCTTGGACCTTAAACTTTCGTCCCGGATGCTGATCCTCGTTGCTTGGTGAAGACCGCAGACTGCGTGCCCCCATAACTGTTGGCACAGCGGCGTTGAGCGTTGAACATGTCGAAGGAAATCACGGACGTAGTGCAACTAGTGGGAGGAGGGCCCCTTATGAGACCCACCCAGCAAAGATTCAGTTTTCCAATCAAAAGCCTGTTTTTGGGCCGGCTCCAGCTTGGGAAGACACATGGGAGCTCCACAGTGGCATGAACTCATTCCTTTGATTACCATGGCATCACCATTTATTCTAGAAACAACAGAGCATGTGCCATTCACACAGAGCAGCACACACACACACAGTGTCTTGCAAAGATCTCTGGCTGAGTTTGTTACGTGAACGCTGACTGGCAGACATGTGTGGAGCATGGAGTGGGAAGAGGAGGCAGGGGCCTTGCCCAACTCTGCGCTGCAATTAGCCTTTGGCTGTGTCCCAATTCGCGGTGCTACTTTGATCCTTGAGTGAATTTGACGACAACGCTGTTCTCGAGCCTGCTTGAACCGGTTTCCAGATACTGCATTTGGCTTGGCATGTGAAAGACTGCCTGGAGACCACTCAGCCGTCCACGAGACAAATAGCGCAGCTGAAGACATGTAAGATTCAAGTCGATCCTCTCAGACTATGTTGAACCAAATGACTTGGCGAGCGAGGCAGCTTGTTAGCATCATCACCCTCACTGCATAAAACATAGTCACCCTGATTGGCATCATCTTCGCCGTTATCATCAACGACATCATATCGTCGTCATACATGTGGTTATGTTTGCCATAGCCAATTTTGACTGTGGCTGTCACTGTCACTATCCCTATCATTCCCATGTATCATCATGGTCCGCGCCATCATTTGTGCATCCACCCTGTTCCTTTCCGTGTTCAGTTGGTCACCGATGCTTGGGCTTTCATTGCAATATATTTTGGTGGGCTCCATCTAGTGGAAGATTAAGTAATTCTCCACCCATGCGACCTGTGCCCCCTGGTTTCAACAATCTATGTTGAGGCTAATCAGAGACATCTCGTGCCGAACGGATACTGGCATTGCAGAGCAACAAATAAGTTTAGGCGCTCGGCGGTGACCGTGCATTTGTCTTCCATCTGCCTCAGACAAGTCCATTCAGCTTTTTCCTTTTGGACTGAAGCTTTCGATTTCCAGCGGTTCGACCCACACTAACCCATGGCTGATCAGATACTAGTGGAATTGAGCATCTTGTCCAAAATCAGGGGACCCCAAATGGGTTCCAGCAACAGGTTCTAGCGGTAAACATGGTACGGCCCAGGTCAGCCTGGCCCCCGATGGCTATGCGGCCTTCAAGGCACGATCTCTGGATCTGTCTTGATCAATTTCTATCTGACATGGTGTCCTTCCAGCCCGTGCAAACATCACCTTCTGGGCCACTAGATGAGTTTTCCCTTTGGGTCACCTAGGCGGACATGTTTTGGGGAGGTCTCAAAATTATGGTGTCCGTTTTTGGTCGTTCTACGTCTTGGCAGTTAAATGCGTTCTGCTGTGGTTTTCTCAAGGTTCTCAGTTTTGGGGGAATTTGATGAGGGTTCTCGTACGGGGTTGGGTGCGGGAAAACGTATAAGCATCAGGCGTGGCAATTCTACGCGCTGAGTCTCACATGAGTTGAATGTAAGAAACAAATGGACCATCAAGTATGCAAGGAACCTGCGTTTCTGCGCATAATTATTTGTGAAGCATCATTGTAGCCTAATCCTCATGTTGGCGGCCAAGCAAAGTGCCATGGCACAATGCGCGTGCCGCAGCCTTTGCCACCTACACTCTCTACATGCCTGAGCATTACGACAAAAGGCAGCGATGCCGAGGCCATAACAGGGGGGGCTCTCCAATTTGACGTCCCTGCCATTCTTGCAGTGCTGACCTTCTTCATCTCTGCCGATGGCCCAATGCTCCAAACAGCCGCAAGATCCCCAAGCCTTCGAGGGCAGGCCGTTGGCAGCGCCAAATACCAATCTTACAAACTTAACGGTGAGAAGGCCTGGCAAGCCGGCAAGCGAGGGATATGCAACGAGTCCTAAATGCGATGTCACGCAGAAGCTCCCGGAGGTTTGGGGAGCAGAAGGCTCGAGTTCCAAGGCGCACGTGTTACTTCTGGACTCGGGGCTTTGCGTTTTGGGCTTCACGGAACCGTTTGCTGCCGGGTTTCCGGGAGCTGAAGTCTTTAAGGGACGAAGATAGCCATGCCAAATCGGAAGCCCTTTCAAGGGAAACCAAAAGGAATCACCCCACCCGAATGACCATGGGACCTCTTTTGAGAAGCCTGGCACCTGCGGGCGCGCTGGTCAGGTCAGAATCCGGGAGCTGCCTATGGCAGATGGTGGGGTGGCCCAGGCCCGTTTTTCATCGAGTTGGATATGAGCCGCCCGAACAATCTCACAAACTATATCGCGCTCGCCGGATAAAGCAAGTCCATCAAGGTCGTGTACTTGGAAATTCCTTGTGGTACTGACGGTCAGAAGTATTCAAAGGGGCAGCGCCCGGCGTGACATCCATCGACTCATGGCTGGATCCGAGGTGTGCACGCCTCCACTGGCTGTCAGCTCTGGTCTTCCAGCGTCGTCTTGGCACGGGAGATCATGGCCAGGCCGGGGCTTGCGATCCCAGGGGTCTTTGCCTAGTGAGGGAAGTGTTTGGAACATGTGGTGGAATTTGGGGGGGCAATGCCATGTGAAATGTACCCACCCTTCCACAGCCACGATGGTAACAACAAGAACAACATGCGTCAGCTGAGAGGTCGAGGGGCACCACGTACTTTCGTTTGATTTGCCATGCTCTTTCCCAACCGATTTCAAGACTCGAGCATTCAAAACCCACAAGTCGACACAGCAAGACGCCTATGAGGCAGCAACCAGTCGCAGTGAAGTACCGGGTGAGTCCTTGCCAGATGCCTCTGTTCTGACTACAACAATTGGGATTCCAAAAAATGTTTTGATCTTCATCTTACCTGGTGGTTGATAGGCCCAAAAGCAAGTTGGGGGTCACAGAAACATGGTCCCCTCATTTTGCACCTAGCATGTCGTGGCCAAAAAGCGCTCGATTGGCTAAGCCTTGCCTTTCTGAGGCCATATTTGGTGGAGAAGAAGGCGGTACTAGAGGCGTGATGCAGTCCTGTCCCCCCCACAACCAATGACCACCTTTTGGGGAGGTACCCTTTGAGGTACATTTTACAGGAGGTAATCCGCTCCCCCAATTAATGAATGACCCCAATTAATAATAAATGCAAATCCGGGGCCCGGGACCAGATTTCCACTCCACACAATTGATTTTCCATTGCGCCAATACTAAACCAATACTAACGTCTTGGAATCCTTATTAGGGGGCATCCAGCCTCACTTTTCAACAGGTGGGTTCCTCAATTCCCCAAAAGGTTGCTTTCCCAAAAGCTGGCTTCTCAAAAGGTTGGGTTCTTTTGGTGGGTTCCCAAAAAGGTTGTTCTTGACTCTGTTGTCCCTGGCTGTCCCTGACTCCCTGGCTGGCTGCGTTTGTCACCTGGCTGCGGTCTGTCTGGTCTGGCTGCCTGGGCAGAGCTCTGTCCTGGGTTTGCCCCAACAAACTACGAAACATCCTTTCTGCCTGGCTGTCCTTTTTTTTTGTAGGGGTTATGGGGACCCAAACCACACTTACTCCGCCCTGGCTGCCTTGCCTGCCTGGCTAGCTGCACCCAGCTGCGAATCTCTCTCTCCCGTACATGCTGGCTAATTAACCTGTCTGGCTGCAAACAAACAACCAGTAAACTGGTAAACAAATAAAATGATGCATCAAATTTCCTTATTGAACCGCTTACTCGCGGACCTTACAATTCAATCCATTTCATCCAAATCCTACGTGAACCCTCACATTGTTGGAAAAGCAAAAAAAACCAACCCCAAAAACCCCAATTAAAATATATATATATATATATATATTTGGGGGGATTTATTTATAATAGGGGGGGGGCCGTATTTATTAATAGGGGGAAGAGATTAGCTTTCTCTGATGGACACCAAAGTGGGTCCCATTCAGAGGAATCTGGTTCTTGAAGGAGCCGCCCTGTTCCATGGCAACTTGACGGAGCGGCATAACGTTCGCACCAGCCCCTTCGAAAACGCCCGGGCTGATCACAGACCGTGAAAATTTTTGGCGACTTTCAGGGGCCCAGTGCCTTTGTTTCCAGGCAACAAACCAAAGACACCAAACACACTCGCAACAAGCCAACCAACCAAGAACACCGGCAAACCAAGCAGCTGGCAGCACCGTTCGTGTTTTTTAGCCAAGCTTGGCGTCGACTCGAACTCGCGAACTCGTCAAGTCCGACACGGCCAGGTGGGCGCGGGCTGCGGACTGCTGGGCATCTCCGTGGCACGCCTGGCCAGGCGCTCCTCGCGTTCCTCGCTCCTCCCCCGCCCTCGCTCCCGGGGTTCAGCTTGACACGTATCCCATGGGCATGGCAGGTGCCCGGTACGGTCCGTTTTTCTTCTTTTTTTTCCCGGAACGGAGTCTCCTTCTGGCAATTGGGCCCCTCTTTTAAATTTTAGTTCGATGTTGATCAAGGGAGTACTACCTGGTTCAATTGGCGCTTATAGTAAGGCTTCGTTTTGGTTTTCCTTTTTGACACCATCATCCAACAGGGGGTTCCCCTGTTGAGACACACCCCCAACGCGAGGTTCGTGATCAACGTTAACCGATTTGTGTGTGGTCATTTTGGGAGGGACATGCGGGGACTCTCTAAACTCGACAAAAGCCGGGGGGCGCAATAATAGACCCCAGGTGGTTGGTTTGCTTGTGGTTTCCCCTGGTTCCTATTTGGTCATGGGTGCCTCCATTTTGGGGCGGATGAACACCCATGTACCACCTAATGTTGCAACATTAACAGGGTTTTGACCAACAGCCATTTGGAGAAGCACCCTCCAAAGGCAGAGATTCAGTACAAAGCTATTCGGCTTAAAATTCAAGCCGCTGAGTAGCTGCCCTTTGCGGACGCACCCTGTATACAAAGTGATTGCCAATGGAGTCGATGATGTGCCCCAATGAGCTGACGAAGCCGAGCGAAGCGACGATTTTCCCGCCACCCGCAAAAGGACTGCCCATGCCAAGCTGCATGACTGAAGCAACATTTTTGCCCTTTCGCCTGTTTCAGGCTTCCTTCCTTCTCCCTTTCAACCAACCAGTTTACTTCTTAGATAGATGCGCCATTTGTCAGGCTGGAGCTGCACAGAGCAGGAACGTGTACTCCTTGCCTCTTCTTCACCCGGAGAGAGGATGGTTGCCGCAAAGGGGCCTCCTGTGACCACTGCCATTTCCGCAGTCGCGTTGAGGCACAGAGGAGACGAAATCGGCAGCACATGTTCGAGAGGAGGCAGAGGCGTCATGCGCGCAAGGAGTACGAGCGAGTTGAATCCAATGCTTCCGCATCTTGCCCCACCTCCGCATCTCGCACTTCCAAGTCCCCTTCTGGCTTGGGTCAGGAGCCAGCAGTGAAGAGGTTCTATCTTTGACAGCTCGTTCCATCTTTCTCGGCAACGGAGCTGAGCCTCGTTTGCTTTTTTTTTGGTTTTGCGTAGGTTTCAATGTTGCCAGAGACATCAGCTCTCAGCTGTTGCCAGGGAACATGTCCAGGCTGGAAGCGCACTTAATGGTCGCCTTCCAAGCTTAGGAAGCCTATCTGCTGGTTGCCTGCAGGTCCAATGCTAGAACTGATGCCCCAAAATTTGAGATGGTCTCAGCCTACTCCGCCACCAGTACAAGGGGACGGGACATGAGTTGTCAATGTGGGCGGTGGATTGTTGTTGAAGTGCCGCTCATTGGATGCTCATGACAATGCTTTCACAGTGATGATCTAAGGGTGCTTCACCCAAGGTCTCTTCTTGAAGCAAAATGAAGCCCTCTGCAACATGCTATTCCGCGAGAAATCCTCCGCGAGGAAGCTGCAAACAGAGCCACAAGGCTTATGTAACCTCGCTTAGGGCAATCCAAGAACACGTCTTGCTGGGGAAGTCCGAGCAAACTGGTTCTCGTAACTGGCCTTGTTGGCACTTGCGAGGCAAATGCTCATCACAGATGGCGATGAGGAGGCCCAGATGCCTGCAAGTGTCGAGCTGATTGCATTTGTCGCCGTGGGAGGATGTCGAAAGGTCTGTTTGCGTTTGGAACAGTTGATGCTTCCAGGCACAGAAAGCCCAGAACACGCCTCAGGGCCGCGGAGTTCATCGTGGTTCAAGATGTGATGACTGGCATTTACGCAGCAGCCCTCCAAGGACAAAATGAGCAACGTGTCCCAATGACTTTGAATGTGGAGCAAGTTGTGGGCCCACACATCTCCCAAACCTTGCATGGAAGTGTCCGCAGTGCATCTTAGGCTCATTTAATGGTGGGTACATGCTATGTGAGTCAACCTCTACAAGAGTTCCTTGTACGGGAACCCATGGCCCTGAGCGGAGTTTTGACCATGGCACCTTTTCGTGGAAGCTTGAGCTGAGCAAGATTCAGCAACGTGGGATCTGGGCTGAAGAGTATTATGGGGGTGCGTTGTTCTTTCCTTGGTACCGTTTGCCTGGGTGGTTGTAACGGGAAGCCACAGGGAAAGCCATCATTTTGTTTGGTCACCGTACTTGGACACATACCCACGCGTCTGAAGCTGAATATGGGCCATTGCGAGTCTGATTGGTACAAGCAGCAGCTTGGTGATTGGCTTTGTTTGCATTCTTGCGGTCATCTCCAGGTAGTGAGAAATCTCTCCCACAACCTGGAGATCAATCGGCCGGACCCAAGCTGGTTGCGCATTTCTAGTGCCCGAAGACTTGTTTCCCTTTTGACCTTGTTGGGTATCTTCGAAGCTGCAAAACACATGCGCCTGCAAAACGGAACCCACGGAAAACTGCTCCCAGAAAGTCAGGGATTTTCTGGCTGAAGTTCTTGAGAGCCACGGCTCGACTCATGTGCAGTGAGCTCAGGTCTTTGTGGAAAGCAGCGGGCCCAAGTTTGCAGGACGTGCCGCCGCCGCGTTTGTCTTTTTCCCGGAAGCATTGCGAAGGGTTCTTCTTCTAAAAGCGGCTGCCAACTTCACCTGCCAACTTCTCATGCCAACTTGTCGAGAGTTACTTCACCTGCCAACTTCTCATGCCAACTTGTCGAGAGTTACTTCACCTGCCAACTTCTCATGCCAACTTGTCGAGAGTTACTTCACCTGCCTACTTCTCATGTCAACTTTTTGAGAGTTACTTCACCTGCCAACTTCTCATGTCAACTTTTCGGCTGTTATCTCATTCTACTAAAAGCACAAGCTAATTTGTCGGGTGTTACTTCACTATCCTAAAAACACAAGCTAACTTTTCTGTTCTACCTTCACATCTCGACTCTTAATTCTTCTTCTTTTTATGGCGGGGGTAGGCCCGACGGGAGCTTACGAAACGCACCCCTCTGCGGAGATCGTGCGTGTCGAAGCGCTCTCGCTGTGGCGCCGTGCGAATTTGTCTTGACCTTGGCGAACCCTCTGCGGAGATCGTGCGTGTCGAAGCGCTCTCGCTGTGGCGCCGTGCGAATTTGTCTTGACCTTGGCGAACCCTCTGCGGAGATCGTGCGTGTCGAAGCGCTCTCGCTGTGGCGCCGTGCGAATTTGTCTTGACCTTGGCGAACCCTCTGCGGAGATCGTGCGTGTCGAAGCGCTCTCGCTGTGGCGCCGTGCGAATTTGTCTTGACCTTGGCGAACCCTCTGCGGAGATCGTGCGTGTCGAAGCGCTCTCGCTGTGGCGCCGTGCGAATTTGTCTTGACCTTGGCGAACCCTCTGCGGAGATCGTGCGTGTCGAAGCGCTCTCGCTGTGGCGCCGTGCGAATTTGTCTTGACCTTGGCGAACCCTCTGCGGAGATCCTGCGTGTCGAAGCGCTCTCGCTGTGGCGCCGTGCGAATTTGTCTTGATTTGTCTGTGAGCCCGAAGCCCTGCGGAGATCGTGCGTGTCGAAGCGCTCTCGCTGTGGCGCCGTGCGATTTTCTTGCTCGCGAAACGGCTTTTGGAAGTTGTCTCGTGGTGTGCGCGCCTGCTTTCGCAATCCCGCGGTCCCGGGTTCGATTCCCCCCTGGTCCGCGGCAGCTCCGGCTTGAAAATCGCAGCTTTTAAGTACAAACGTAGTACGCGGAGCGTGCTCCTGCAGCTCCGGCTGGAAAATCGCAACTTTTAAGTACAGACGTAGTACGCGGAGGCTGCTGCAGCTCCGGCTGGAAAATCGCACTTTTTAAGTACAGACGTAGTACGCGGAGCGTGCTCCCGCAGCTCCGGCTGGAAAATCGCAACTTTTAGATACAAATGGCTGGAAAATCGCAACTGTAAATTGCAAATGTAGCACGCGGAGCGCCTCCGCCGCTCCAGCTTTTTGAGGGTTAATTACTTCACCTGCCAGTTTCTCATGCCGAAACTTCGAGAATTACTTCACCTGCCAGCTTCTCATGCCACCTTTTCGAGAGTTACTTCACCTGCCAACTTCTCGTGCCAACTTTTCGAGGAGTTACTTCACCTGCGAGCTTATCATGCCAACTTTTCGAGAGTTACTACACCTGCGAGCTTCTCATGCCAACTTTTCGAGAATTACTTTACCTGCCAACTTCTCATGCCAACTTTTCGAGAAATACTTTACCTGCCAACCTCTCGTGGCAACTTCACCTGCCAACTTTTCGAGAATTACTTCACCTGCCAACTTCTCATGCCAACTTTTCGAGAAATACTTTATCTGCCAACCTCTCGTGGCAACTTTTCGAAAAATTACTTCACCTGCCAGCTTCTCATGCCAACTTTTCGAGAGGTACTTCACCTGCCAACATCGCCTGCCAACTTTTCGAGAGTTACTTCGCCTGCCAACTTCTCGCGCCAACTTTTCGAGAATTACTTCGCCTGCCAACTTCTCATGCTAACTTTTCGAAAGTTACTTCACCTGCCGGCTTCTCACGCCAACTTTTCGAGAGTTACTTCACGCGCCATCTTCTCGTGCCAACTTTTCGAGAATTACTTCACCTGCCAGCTTCTCACGCCAACTTTTCGAGAGTTACTTCACCTGCCAACTTCTCATGCCAACTCTTTGAGAGTTATTTCACCTGCCAACTTCTCATGCCAACTTTTCTCTTGAGTTACTTCGCCTGCCAACTTCTCATGTCAACTTTGCGAGAATTACTTCACCCGCCAACTTTGCCAGCCAACTATTCGAGAGTTACTTAACCTGCCAGCTTCTCATGCCAACTTTTTGAGACTTGCTTCGCCTGCCAACTCCTCATGCTAACTTTGCGAGAGTTACCTCACCTGCATCAACTTGCCTCTATGCTTCCGGGCCACTCGTCGTCTAGTTAATATCTGAGGTGTGGATTCACCTTATTCCTTATTATTGGCAGTTTGGTTTGGTTTGATAGGTTGGAGGCTTGAGACTTTTCCACTGGGTTTCGAGGGCTCAATGGCAGACAGTGCACTGGTAGTTTAGTTTCAATCATATACCGGTGGAATTCATCCCACGCTGACCCGCATAAATCAATGTTGCGGACTAATCCGGATGCTCCCCCAAGGATTCCCTCTAACAGGAGACACCCCTAGCAGGGGACAGGAGGCACCCCACCAGGGTGTGATTAACCCTTGGTTCCCTTTCAATTTGCGGCAAAAGGATACCTGTTGACAGCATCCATTTCGCACCATGCACCCCTATGAAGCCCCAAAAATCTCCAAGCCCTGCAAGCCCCAAGTCAAAAACACCCTGGTGGATTTCGTCCATCGGTTGACAAGTTGCCAGGTGAGCTGTCGCGTGCTGCGCTGGGAGGAGAAGAGATATGATTTGTGCGTCTTGAGTTTGTTGGGTGCCCTATTTGTGGTGGCTAAGGGCGACCAACGGAAAAACAACCAGCGTGGGAGAGCATCCCAATTTTGACACACCCAGTTGCAGGCAGATGTTGTGTCCCAGACCTCCATTTTCGAGTATCTCAAGGTAGACTCAAACCCTGGAATCGGTTCTCGTTTTGGGGAAGCGAGCAAACCCTGGGCTTAGGTCTACCCAAGGGGATAATCAAAGCAAAGTACGGAACCCTGCATGTGGCCTTTCCGCTCTTCTTTGCACCTCCTGCGCAAGTCGTGCACTCACAAGAAGTTTGTGTGTGTCCAACAAGTTCTGGTCCAAACAGGTGCGTGTGTGCGTGTGCGTGTGCGTGTGGGTGTGGGTGTGTGAGCGTGTGTACCCCCTGTTCCTAAGGGGCTTTTCGGTGTCCTTTTTGTTTTTTTCTTCTTTTCTCTTCTTTCGGAGTCGAACGCCACCATAGCAGACGACTTGACGTTCAGTACCTCCGCTAGCTGCTGGCGTCCCTGATGAGGAGGGCTAGCGGAGCGAAAGACAATCAAGCGTGGGCTATGCCGAAATTCCTTTGCCCTCGGGGAAACCCTCAAAAGCTGGCACATGGGATGCGCCTCGCGGGCTCACTGTCTCCAATCAAGTGTGTACCGGCGCTGCTTCCGAGCCACGGTCAGTGTCGTGAACCCTTCGGGGCACTCGATTTGTCTCATGCACAGACCTTTTTCTGACCTTTGCCGACTGTCCTCTACCACTGACCTTGAAGACCTTTACCGCTGACCTGCGCCACTGATTTCCTTTACCTGACCTCAAAGCATCCCAGGACCGGGTTTCACCACATACCTTGATGTTTCACCCGAACCTTATCGAGAACCCCCACTGACGCAGGTCCCATGCCCGGGCTCCAACTCGGGAGGACGCATGGCCTGGCAAGCGCTCGGCGAGACCTCATCGAGCACCCCTTCCTAGCCCTCGCAGTCGGGCCACTCACTCATCCAGCAGATCGGTCAGCTCCGCCGGCTACTTCTACGCAGCCGACTACTCCCTCGAGGCCCAGTCATGAGCCATCAGCACCTGCGTCAGCACCCGCGGTTACAGCTGCCACGATACGACCGGCTCGACCAGCTTCACCAACACTTTAGTGCTCCTCCCGAACTCGCAGTTGTGCAGAACTCCGGAATTTGGTTATGCCGTTAATTGAGCAAGGAGCTCCGGTCAATCAAGCTCAGCTGGACTATGTGTCGGCCACTGTCAATTTCCTACATCGCTCAAGCCCCTGATATCACCCTCCCTCCTCTACCATTCACTGGTTTATTCTCCATGTCCCTTACCATACAACCGTCGGCGGCACCCGCGATTTTGTGCACACGCCGCGTTCAACAATACGACGCTAAGGAGTCGGCTCGGGAAATGTCTCCAAACTGGGCCATGAGCTTCAATCAGTTGCAGCTCTTGATTTGCGCGGTGTGGAAGCGCACTCCGATCCGAAATGGGGGGAGCGAGCGTGTGTTGAGGAGCTCAACAACTGCGAGCGCCCGGACACCGTGCGCTACGTCTCCGGACGACGCTGGGTTATAATCCCTGATTAGCTGAATCCTGCGCGCAAAGTTGCTGCATTCTAGCTTGATGTTTGCTGCAGTGTCGCCCTCAAACAGCTTCACTATGGCATTGGCATGTTTGATGCACTCACCATGCTTCAGTGCCAAGGTGTCATGCCGCTCATTGCGTCTCTTCACCAAAACGGTCCAATGCTTGGGCGCTTCATTGCCTGGAATTGGAATCACAAGAGTGCCAACATGCTAATTGACCTAACCTTCAGCAGATCATAGGCAGCTTCTTCCATCTCAGTCATGCGCACTGTGAGGGCTGGATCAAGACACTGCACAGACTCATGAATCTGCAATTGTAACTTCATCCATGACCATGCCAGCAAGATATGCTGATCTTCCAGGTATGAATCTGCCTGCAATGGGAACACTGAATCCACAGATTGCATTGATGGTCTTGTGATCATCACACTCTGTGCTGATGGTACCCTTACCTGTGATGATGCTTGCCTTGCCCTTCTTGATCATTTTCAATGTTCTGATTTCCCAAATGCCAGATTCCATGCCATTTCTGATACCACTCTGACTTCCATTCCCTGCCCTTCATGACTCCCATCCTTGATCTTCATTCCCTGTAAGGCCTTCTTCTTGGCATCCTTTGAATTCCAGCTTGCTCTCTTTATCAGCAATCTTCTTCACAATTGCCTTCTTGACTGCTTTCTTTGCAATGGATGGCTTGAGCTTGATGCTAGGCTTGCTGCTTGCTGATTCTTTTTGCTTCAAGCCGACTAAGGACTTGGCAAGCCCCTTCTTATTGGATCTTCTGGGCTGATTGCTTCTTTCTTGCTCATATGCCTCATAATAGCCCTCTGCTTGGATAACTTCCTGAAATTTGGACAATCCTGCACCAAGGACCCCCATGTTGCACCCAGCATTGTCCTTCTATAAAAACATCCTCCTCAATGCTGGTGACAGCCTTAGGAATGCGTGGGAAGCAACATCTCATCGCTGATGTCGTGCTTGATATCCAGATCACTTGTCTGATCATTTGCAATGGCCTCTGCATCTGTCTGCTTCTTCTCATCGTCTCCTGCATCATTGTGCTCATCTGGCTCTGGATGTGCATTGCTCCATCCAATGAGGTCTGTGACTGCTGCATCACTGCGAAAGCTGAAATCTGGCCCGGGGGAAGGGCACCCTCTTTGTTCCCACCACCTTCATCGGTCTTGATCAGCTTGCCTTCTGACACCCTGTACACAAGCAATCCATTCCATAAAGCTAAGCTGATTCCCCCCAAAAAATGCTTTGGTCCCTTATCTTTATTCAAGGGCAAGCTTTCCATTCAAGCTTGCTCATCAGAAAATGATTCCAATTCCAGTGATTCCCTTCATCAAATTCTTTATCCAGAATCCTTCAACAATCACAACTTGACCCTGTCAGAAGGCTGCCCCCAATGAAGCCTCATGCGCTAAATAATTCCAGACCCTAAATAAAGCTAAGCTGATTCCCAGTGATCCAAAAAATGCCCTGATCCCTTATCTTTATGCAAGGGCAAGCTTTCCATTCAAGCTGGCTCATCAAAAATGATTCCAGTTCCATCAGATCCAAGAATTCTTCAGTGATTCCCTTCATCAAATTCTTTTTCTAGAATCCTTCGCGACCCTGCACAGACCTTGCAAGATGCCCAGGCTGCTTGTGCCTGCACCTACGCCTGCGCCTGTCCCTCGTCACCGCAGCAGCGAGCGGAAACTTTTTGTTTAGAAGCCGACTTTAGCAACCCGGGCCTCATTGTCGGCTCCGGAATCCTCCCGGAATGTGCAGACCTTGCGGTGTTGGTCAACCCGGACTTCAGAATTGACGCTGTTTCGTGGGCCGAGGTCAGGTCCGCACCTTGAAGAACGACATCAAGTCGAAGTGCTCCTACAAGTACAAGGCCCTGGCCACGAAGCTCTACAGATCTGCTTCGGATGTGACGCGCTGGAGGAGCCTGGAACGCATCAGGAAGAACACCAAATAGGCTCCGACACAGCCCCACGAAAAGAATTGTTTCTGGCCCCCTGATGGTCCCCGGTCAAGCAACTATGGCTCGGCCCAGTGGCGGTACAGCTCGTTCACCGCTCCGCCTTTCTGCTATCAGCATTTAGCAAGCCAGTGCCCTCCCTTGCCATCATCGTGATTGGCGGCTTCATCTTTGGCAATGACCTTCTCCACTTTGCCGTGGTGGATCTACAGGGAGTGGGGCGAGTTCGACACGGACTCGCATGCCGGGCACCACCCTCACGACCTACAACCGGGACTGGGAATGCAAGGCGGGCAGGGCGTTCAGGACCCGGTGTGGCAGCGCCGTCGCAACAACTGTGGATATGAAGACCAACAGAGAAGCGACCCATTATCCCATTCTTCCTTGTCCTTCCGTCCAATCCAGAATGCAACCAAAATGAACGACTTTAGGATGTGAGTGAAGGTGACATGAGGAAGAGGAAGGTAGTGGCTGACAAGAAATCCTTCATTCACCTACCTGTCAGCTCTTGGAATCGCATGCCAGGTAAACGAACGAAGAGAGAGGTGGCATGTGGGAGAGAGCGGAGGAAGGTGGGTTAGGCATGGGATTCACTCGCTGTCAGGCCTTCCCACAGTCGTCTTCATTCATTGCCTCCAAGCCCGAACCTCACCCAGCAGCAGAGCCTGATGCGCCCACGCCCTCTTCACCTATGCTCTCGTCACCTGCGGCAGTGCCTGGCGACCAGAAGCCTTTTTTTGTGGCGACCATGGATTCAATCTGTAGACCTCCTTCCAGCGCCCGCTCTACAGCTATGTCCTCGGTTGCGACGCAAGCAACTCTTGACGCTATGGATCAGGCCCCTATGCCTCTCCGCTGCCATCAACGATACAGCTACAGCCACCCTTACGCCTACATGCCCGGCACCTTCACTCACGGCTGATGCGGATCGTGCTTCGCTTTTCAAACTTCGTTTTACGGAATGACGAAGGCGCGGGTTCCCTTTTTGTTTCTTGGGTTTTGGTTTGTTCTGGGTTTCCTTTCTTTTCCTTGGTTCGGCTGCCCTGTGTTCCCCCTTCAGGGTGTGTGTGTGTGCCCCCTGTTCCTAAGGTTTCTCGGAGTCGGACGCCACCTTGACGAATGCCCCGGAATGCAGTAATCCTGTTGGCAGATGGCGTTCCTGATGAGGATTGGCGGCAGGATGAACAATTACCGGGCTTACGTCAAGCCGAAACTCCTCTTTTCACCTTTCAGTTGCTTGGGGTGCGCCTTCGCAGTTTCGATGTCTTCCGTTAACATCAAGTGTGTGTGTGTGGGTGGGTGCGTGCGTGCGTGCGTGTGTGTGCGTGTGAGTGCGTGTGTGTGCGCGTGCGTGTGCGTGTGCGTGTGCGTGTCCGTGTGTGCGTGTGTGCGTGTGTGCGTGTGTTCGTGTGTGCGTGTGTGCGTGTGCCTGTGTGTGTGCGTGTGTGTGTGTGTGTGGGTGCGTGTACGTGTGCGTGTGCTTGTCCGTGTGTGCGTGTGTGCGTGTGTGCGTGTGTTCGCGTGTGCGTGTGTGCGTGTGTGCGTGTGCGTGTTCGTGTGCGTGTGCGCGTGCGCGTGCGTGTCCGTGTGCGTGTGCGTGTGTGCGTGCGTGTGCGTGTGTGCGTGTGCGTGTGTGCGTGTGCGTGTGTGCGTGTGCGTGTGCGTGTGCGTGCGCGTGTGCGTGCGTGCGTGCGCGTGCGCGTGCGCGTGTGCGCGTGCGTGTGTGTGTGTGTGTGTGTGTGTGTGTGTGTGTGTGTGTGTGTGGTGTGTGTGTGTGTGTGTATGCGTGTGTGCGTGTGTGTGCGTGTGTGCGTGTGTTCGCGTGTGTGTGTGTGTGTGTGTGTGTGTGTGTGTGTGTGTGTGTGTGTATGTGTGTTTGTGTGTGTTTTGCCAGTTGACTAGTATTGCGCTGCCCCGCAAAAAGCTTATCTTGCTCACACCTCTAGATTTGTTTGCCATTTTTGTTCAGGCCGCGGACTTGCCCCATAAATGTTGAGACGGAAGGAACACACGACCCCAGTGGCTTGATGAGGTTGCAGTACGCTGCACGTCTCCAGGAAGCCAATCTGGTGCGCAGAGCTTCAACTCCAAGAGCAACTTCCCAGAGGGCGTATTTTCGTCCCGCGTTGCCTGTTTGTTGCCCGTAAACAAGCAAGTTAATCAGTTTGTGATGGAGGAAATGAACAAACAGGCTTGGGAGTGTAAAAACAAACGGGCCTCACTCCAAACAAATGAAGAAGAACACCCTCATTACAGGGAAACCACAAGGAAAACTTTACGCCCCCGCCCCTAAGAAGCAAACCTTGCAAATGTTTACCATCATTTTTGTTGACTAAAGTGACGGAACAGAATTCAATCATAGCATTCGAGTAGTGCCTGAAGTGGACCAAAAACCCAAAGGCTCAGGTCCCAGCCGCCCAGGAGCTGTTGGAGAAGCCTTGGCCGGAGGAGCCTTTAGAGGCAGCGGCGCCGATTTTTGTGGTTTCCAGGCCTTCTTATTTTTTACAGACAGTAACCTTTTCGGGATTGTGCTAAAGAGACCAAAGACAATTCCATATGCCTTCTTCTTGCCATGTGCCTTCTTTGAGTTTGCCAGACCTAGCTTACCCTTTTAACATTTTGCGGTGTGGGTTTTCCCACAACTGTCAATTTCAACAGTCGCAAGGGGTCTAAGGCTGGCAGAGTTTGAGTTTGATTCGTGGCAGGTCATCGTAGCCTCAGACATCATCTACGGCAACTGGGGGGAGACCGTGGCGGAGGCGGGGCAAAACCCGAGTCGGAAAAACATGTGATGTGTCAAAATGGGGGTGGGGACCACTAGGCAGGGCTAGGCAAAGATTGGTCTGACTAGGACCTCTGGCCTGTTAAAGGAAACCCGAAAGATTTGTGATTCAATCAATAGTTTTCTGTTCAAGCATCCCTGAAAGGGCATGGTCACATTTTGTTGGTCACTTCTGGAAGGACTCGGCACTATTCGAACGTCGGAACTTGAACCCTTGATGCTGTGAGCCGGGATCCGCGGCTCGGCAAAACTTTGACATGCATTCCAAGACATGACGTCCCGCTGCTTGCTGATTTAATGAGCCAAAGCGCGAGGAAGGATTTGGAGGCTAAAGCAGTGGAGCCTTCGGGTCACTTGGAGGCAGCCATTTCACCGACGCACTCATTGACCTCTTACATGGCAAGCTCACCTTGGGCGTAAAGCAACCCCACCATAATGTAGGTGCTTTATTCGGCATCTCGGCTCCAATGCCATTTGCCTCAGGCAGCTCGGCGGCCCGCAGGTTGGCCAGCCGGGGTGCGTGGGTCCGTGTCTTTGTGACCCGATGTCATGGTCGATTCGGTGGGTGCTTTTCTGGCTTCGCTGGATGCTGGTGTTTTCCCCTTGGCCTCATGGGGATGGCTGCCTGCTGGGGAGGTTTTAGGAAGCTCAGTGGGGCGGTCGGCATGGCCACCGGAGGAGGGTGCAGCCCCTGAGCCTCGGCGTCTTCTCCTTTGCCTTGGGCCAACGGCGTTATTCTCCTTTCTGCTGGTACTTACGCCCCGCGGCGCCTTCGGGCAAATATGATGCGCTTTGGTGCGATGCGCTTTCTTTGCTTTTGCGGAGACTCACGCATGCGCTCGCACCTCCAATCTGTCGGCGAAGGGCGGTCCGCCTTCCTGGCCTTCCTGTGTGCCCAATTGGCGGGTGTGGCTTCACGGTGGTAAGTTCTTCGAAAGGATTGTCTATAGTGTCTCACTGGTGGACAGATAGCGCAGCCTTCGCGCCTGGAGTGTGATTTTGCTCCGGGATCGTTCCCGGAGCCTTGCCCGTCGGCACTTCGCTGGCCGGGGGCTCAGCGCGCTCGCTTCGATCTGCCGAGGGGCCCTGTGGAACATTAGCCTGGCCACTCGACCGTCCGCCCTCGCGAGATGTACGTGCTTTAAAGCAAAATGTTGGAAGTATTCTAACACATGCAGGCTCATTTGATCCTCACTCCCGAGCAAGAATGCCAGCAGATCCTTTGCACGGGGCTGATCCGCGTGCCACACAACCTGTGTATGCCAGGCGCTCTGCAGTGTGCCGGCACCTAAGAAAGCAGCATGGGATCTGATGACGCGTCTCACTGGCTTGTGGTTGGAATGTGTGAGGTCTGCCAGGGTGCCTTGAAGTTACATTTTGAGGGCTTCTCAAAATTCCTTTGGATCAACCCAGGCGAACAGAAGCGAAAAGTCGCAACCAGGTTGGCGCCGGGTGGACTGGTCCTGTTGGCCTGCTCAGAGGACCCATTTGGGTAGTGCTACCGAAGGCCTTCGTAAACCTTTATCATGTTGGTAGAACCCAAAGTCAGCGCGGCCACCCAGCGTTCCGAGACACCCTGGAAATCTTTTTCTTTTTTCTTTTCGGAGGGCACCCTCACTAGAAATGGAATCAACCCTGAAGGGTGTTGGGGGCAGGCCTGAGGCTTCGAGCGACAAAGTTGGGTGTGTTCGAAGATAAGGCGACCCGAGCCGTTGCTTTCCGTCGAGTTCCATATATACCCATTTTGAGGGTCGTCCATTTCAACACATACCCACTTAGAGCGCCTGGTTCGCAGTTGGTTTCCCTCAACCAACTCAAGCCCCGCACGGCTAATGTGATATATATATATATATATGTATATATTCAAGATCATCATGTTGCATGACATGCTTCAATAGGAGCAACGGACAGTAGTCAAGTGACTGGCATTGGGTACACACCAGAATCCAACGTCACTTGGCATACAATAAATATCGACCGTGTCTCATATGGGTCTACTGTAGTACTTGCCTTCAGCACGGGCGAGCTCGTCCAGGGCTTGGGCACGGATGGGCAAGACGCAGGCACGTTGGATATGTTAATGGATTTGCCACTCTTCAACCACTTGGCTTTGGCCCGTCCAACCTCAACCCAAATTAAGGAGGCTCGTAGATTGGGTCCCGCTCAAATGGCTGGCATTCTTGAGGTTGCTTAAAATCCATCCAAAACGAAGCCCCTCATTCTGGGAGCCCCCCCCCTCTTTCATGAAGGCATTCCATCCCCAACGTAAATACAAACAAACGTTGTGGTGTCAACCACGGTTTCATTTCGTGGTCCGAATGGATTTCGCAACCATCCACCACATGGCTATGAATTCCCCTTAAGTTGTTCTTTTATCCCCACCGAATTCTGGTGTCCACCAAGGGCTTCCCAAACGATTGACACGCATAGGGGCATAAGGGGCTACCCTGCAAGGACTTTCCGGGCTACCGAAGGCTGGCTACTCGCCAACTTCCCGCAGCGGCCAGAGTTGCGTTTGTTTTGAGTTGTGGGACCCCCCCCTGAACAAAGGTGGTCTCCTCGAGGTTTCCCGTTTCTTTTGAAAACAGCCCCTTAAGCAAAACCATAGAAAGGGTCACCCTCAAGCGATGCCTCGAGCTGCGGTGAGGACCGCCGCGGAGGTGTCCGTGGGTTTCAGGACGGATCCTTGGCAACTGGAATGGGGGAATTGCTTCAGACATGGCTGGTGGGGACCCACCACAGCGTCCATTTCAAGTAACACTTCAGGCCGGAATGTGCGATCAAGTCAAGGGCCCGATCGAACTTCCAGATCATGAGTTGAGTCTCTTTTTGCAAGATGCGCCACCCCGAACCTCCAAACCCCCAACTCCCCAACTCCCAAACTCATGCCCTTGGTCGAACACCTTTTGTTTATTTATTATGCAAACCTCTGCCTTAAGCGCCGAAGCGGTGCTTGCGTGGAGGAGCGGATGGAGCAGCGGGGCTTCAACATCTTGGAGACCAAGCTCAGGCATGCCGCATGCCTTTGCCACGCATGCGACGCGCGGGTCGAAGCTGAGGCCGGTTTCTGCGCAAGTTGTTTGGCGTTTAGTTCGAGGGGTCCCGGGACACCGCTGGTTGTGTGTCTCTGCGGAGCTAAGGGGAGTCCTAGTTGACAGACGTGCGAATCTCCAGAGAGTTGGCAGCGCTCCGTTTTCGACCCACAAGTTGAACCAGGAGCAAATGCCAGATTCTTTGCTGCTGAATAGAAGGGGCCCCCTCAATTACCACACCTTCTAGCTTTTGCAAACGTACATCTCACTGCATTTTCCTCCATCCAAGCGCCAGGCTTTTCTTCGGTTTTCTTATCCTCGTCTTTGCCCTGAGACTTGCAGCTGTGCTCAAACTTTTTTCAGCGGCTGCTGCTGCTTCTCTGGTAGCTTTGCAAAAGCCTTCTCAAATCAGCTTGGAGTCGTAGGAAGACCTGTCAAGGTCGCTGGCTTCTTGGCTGGCTGGGTTTCTTCAGCGTCTTCTTCTGGCTCGTCTCCTTCTCCTTCCTCATCTTCTTCTTCCTCCTCCTTTCTTCTTCCTCTGCCTCTTTTTCTTCGTCTTCTTCTTCTTCCCTCCTTCTTGGAGAGGATACACGCTACAATACAGGGGGTATGTGTCAAAATAGGGGGAGCCACCAAAAAGGTGACTTTCCTCAAGCTCAGAAAGGGTACCTCACACAACCGCACTCTCTGAGATTCACATGTCTTCTCTTCATGCGGTCAAACAAGTCTTTTTTCTGCAGCATTTGGCTCTACGTCTCGACGGTGTCGCCTTGTTTCAGCTCTCGCTCGCCATGTCCGTCACAGCGGAGGAGGTGGCCAAGCACAACAAGGAGTGAGTCTGCGGGGGGATGGTTGGGTGTCTTGTGAAGGGAGGGGGCCCCTTTTGGTTGGGGTTAAAGACGCACAAAAAGGAAACTAAACACTTTGAAGATCCCCTATTCTTGAAACAAACCCAAATAAGGTTGTGGCAAACAAGTCCAGTACTTGGTTCTGATCCAATTGGGAGGGACATCGGGGACTCTCTAAATTGCAACCACGGAAAGCGAGCTTCTCTAGTTCTCCCATGTCCTTTAGGCTAGCAGCAAAATGTTGAGCGCTCAAGTGGGATGCGGGATTCTCTACAGGACAGCGACTGCTGGGTCATTGTGGGCGACCAGGCGAGGTGGTCTCTGCGCTTGCAGACGCTACGGGGGCCGTCCTCCCTGAAAGTGCCTAGTGCTTGTCTGGCCTGTTGCCGTGGGCCCCAATCCCTTTTCGTTTGGTGGGTTTCCCACCAAAACCAGAGTGCAACCCCGAAAATAAAGACCCTTCAACTGGGTTACGGCCAAGACTGCCACCCTTCGTTGCTTTCCTGTTCGACCCTCTCGCGAACATGAGCAAATCCTCGCAGGTCCTGGACGTCACCAACTTCCTGGCGGACCACCCGGGGGGCAAGAAGTCCATCATGATGTTCGCCGGCAAAGACGCCACCGAGGAGCCGCTCCCTCAGAAGTTTTGTTTCCATTGCTTTTGTTTTTCTTTTTCTGAACCTGACTTGGCTTTTCAACTCATCACCAAACATCCGGTGACATGGGAAACTAGTTGATTTATCAAACATTTGGTTGACTTTGATTGGGGGTGTCACATTTCAGAGGGGATCCGATCACTGTTCGGGAACCTCCTGGAAATCCACCAGATCGATGAATCCGGGGTCGATCCCGAAAACAGACGTGCAACTTGGGGAGGGGATCAAGGCGAAATTTATCTCTTTGCTGTGCTCAAAAGTTAGCTCACGACACATCAAGAACAGCCGATGTGCATTGTCTTGACTTTCAGTTGACATGGAACGTAAAGACGGGGTGCCCCAAGGGAAAGTCCGCCCGGGACCAAGGATGCGGATTTGCAAACGCATCCCAACATGTCTGAATTTGCAGATGACTTGCTCCAACAATTGAAGTGGGCAAAGGGGCCATTTCAAGCGGTTGGTTCTTCCGAATCTCGAAACCCTCCCCTCCGCTTCCATGATTGTTCAAAGGGTATCAGGAATGACCATCATGATGTAACCCGTTGGCTTCAACTCGTTGGAACCATCCACACAGACAACCCCTCGCTTCCAACTGCAAAAGCAACATGCATACAGCTGTGGAGACCATACCATTACAACCATCACATGTCGCGAAAGGTACTTGGACCATGCATGGCCTGAATGACGGAAGTGGGTAGATTTGCTCCAAATGCTGGCAGAAGCCCATGAACTTTATGCTCGGAGGCGATGTGATGCATTCAAACCGTCCAGAAGCTGGAACAGTTTCCACGGGCAAGCGCTGACAGTCGCTTGTTGTGCACGAGGTTCGACATGCTCCATGACCGCAAGGCCAGGGCAATCAACTTGTCCCTTCAAGCGGTTGCACTTTTGAGGAGTTTTCAAAATTACTTTTTGGGGCAATGTCCCTTTAAGCCACCATTTAGAGGGTGATTTTGCACTTTAAAGGACCCAGGCCAATCAACATTGGCTTGGGCATGGAGCCTTCCTCTATGATAGTATCCCTGTGTGGCCATGTCCCGGGAACGGGAAGTCCAAGCACGAAGCCAAGCTTTTTTTGTACCCTTGACCTAAAAAGGGGTTGCCAAAAATGTGAGGCCTTTTTTTGGGCCAGGATGCCAAAAAAGGGTCCCTAACTCTCCCCCACGGCATGTTCTTGGTTGGCTCCCTCTAGTTACCAAAAGAGGGGGGGGGGGCGTGGCGATCTGATGTTATCACGAACATATTTCTCGCGTTATTGACCCAGTTTTGAAGAAGCAGAAGAAGAAGAAGAAGAAGCAGAAGAAGAAGAAGCAGAAGAAAAAGACGCGGTTTAAGATGTCGGTGCTTTGTTTTGCATGCAGTACCGGACCGCTTCGCAGACTGAATGACGGACAGGTCATCAAGAAGTATGGCCTTGATGAGGGCACCGTTCTGCTGAAGGGCACCCTCAAGAAGCCGCCTGTCAGCACCCAAACGCAACACATTCATAGCGGGCAAAGCTTGGCAGGTACCCGGGATTCGGTTCGGGTTGCCAAAAGTAAGGCAACCAGTCACTGAGTCTTAGGGCAACATGTTCCACAAAACACTAGGGCACTAGGGCCTTGATCCCATCTCCTGAGGGTCATTTGTACCGCCCCCAATGAATCAGCACCCACTAAGAAAGAAGCCACCAATTCAAGGTTTGTATTGTTGATTGTGGTCCGCTCGGGAGCAAGTATGTGGGTTCACAATCGGCCCAGGGCGTTGGTTTCTTCGGGGTTTTTCTTCAGCCCTGCAGCCGAAGTTCCTTAAGGTGAGGTGGACTTTATGGACCCCGGCACTCCGGCTGGGCGGCAGGGCTGTTCTCACCTTGGCACGTGAGCATTGGAATCAGGCGTGGAGACATTTTCACAGGACGCACGTGCATGTGGGCCCCTGAGCCACACCCCGAAAACGCATGCAGATTGAGATCAGCCCTGCCTTGAGATGTCGCGCGCGGCCACCGTCCTGCGCTGCGCGCTCGCTATCTCAAACCCTTTCAATGGCGCGTCAGAAAAGATGATTGCGCCTGGGTCCAAGGGAAGAGCCTCAACATGGACGAACCGTTCAAAACGGGACAATGCCTGATAAAGCCATCTATTGCAGAGAGTGCAGTTGACTGGGTGGCTTTGCCATGGTGTTTTTGGCTGTGAACTCCCAAAGCCCTGATGCGCACATGCGTGTTTGGACTTGGCTTGCTGCATGGGCTTGACCCGCCCAGTTTTGTGTTTTCGGAGGAACCCCCTTCTCGTCGGATTTTATTTAGAACCCAAATGAAGCTGGTTCAGATGATTGTACCTTCTTCGACAGCAGGAGCCGGATGATGTCCTCAGCACTTGGCTCAACTCGGATCACTGCGATTCTTTCTCTGCCAGCCATGTCCGTCACAGCAGAGGAGGTGGCCAAGCACAACAAGGACAGGGGCGAGCGAAGAGACAGGCCTTTGTTCAATTTGCTATTGGTTTTGTTTGGGGTCGCTGGTTCCCAGGGGATGTTAAGGGTTTTGGGAATGAACCTGGAGATGTCCTAAAAGCCAACCAGTTGGATGGCTCAGCTCGCTCGGGCATTCCCAATTGGACCAGATAGAAAACTCCCAACCTCCACAGTACGGTGGGTTTCGCGACCTCGAAGACTCGGTCGGAGGACAGCGACTGCTGGGTCATCGTGGGCGATCAGGTGCGGGGGCCAGGGTCCGACCTTCCGCGTGTATGCCACCTGCATTCGGCTATGAGTTTCAATGATTGGAGCACCAACCCAACAATGATGGGTGGACACCAACCCCCATGTAAATGTTTTTAAATCACATGATCCAACCAATTGGAATTCGTATATCCGGTCGTCATCCCTACGTGAGAAGTCAGAAGTCCATCCTCTTGTGTGCATTCCGGAGATTCAGGGCACGCTCTCAGCTACTGAGGTTCCAAAATCAGGTTTTGGGTCATTCCGAATCATGTCTTGGGCCAGATCGAAGTGAGATGGTGTGATGTGCGCCCTGGATCAAGCTAGCACTCGTGCAGTTGAGATGTAGACGGGGCCTTCGAGCCGATGTTGTTTCCGTTGTTTGGACTAGGTTGCCACGTGTCTTTTCTGCACACGAGCAGCATTGCAGGATTTAGGGTTCAGGACATCAGAAATACACGGGGTTTCCAGTCACTTTCAACTTTCAAGTTGGTTCCAACCAGGGTTTGATTTTCAGGTTGCTCCAGAGGAGACTCATTCCCAAAGGGGATTTTTGGGTAAATCAACCACCTCATTCCCAAGAGATTAGCCAGACCCCCTGGATTCTGTTCAGGGATCAGACAATGGCAGTACACCCCAAGTGAAATGGGTTGCTTCTGAACAGAAGGATGGGTGAGAATGGGAAATCAAACTCCATTTTTTGTTTTTTAAACAAATGCATCCGTTTTGTTTTTCTATCTTTTTGTTGCGGGTTGCAACTGGGCGGTTGCAACTTGATCGATTTTTCTGCAGGTCCTGGACGTCACCAACTTCCTGGCGGACCACCCTGGAGGCAAGAAGTCCATCATGATGTTCGCCGGCAAAGACGCCACCGAGGAGTCGAGCGCTCAGTTCTCCGATGTAGCTTTGTTTGAGCTGGTGCGAACACCCATATATATATATATAGGTCCTGTTAAAAGCCCCTTCCTGTATTTCCAGTTTGGTTGCAACTGCTGGAACCCTCTAAATCACGTCATTTTGCATTTTTGAGCCCTACCACTCTCAACATGTTAGTGCAGCCTCTTGCCCACTGGCCCACGTATTGAATCAAGAGCCAAAACACAAGGGTTTGCCTTGTACAGCAGGCTGGTTCCCCAATTTACAAGAAGGGTAGTTTGCACACTTCTGTTTGACTCAAAGCTTGCTTTGTGATGTTTGACAGAGCAACGAGTCATGAGGTCCAATGCTTGTCCCTTTTGCACGAATCAGCCCCTTTCCTTCGAGCGGAACAGAATCAGCTCGTATGGCCTTTCAGGCATGCCAAGCTCTGGATCATTCTTGAACATGTGTTTGGGTCCCCCGACGCATGCCCAACTGGCCTTGTTTGGATCCTTAAATGGAGACATGAATGTCGGCATTCTGCCGGCCAAAGGCCAGCACTCGGGCGCAATAATTTCACAGGGCCACATACCCTTTTGGTTGAAGTTGGCACCTCCCAGCCGAGGTTTGACATGCTGCATGACCGCAAGGCTTGTGGGCTGCCGCATTTGCATGGAGGGGTTTGACCGGCTCAGGTGATCCACAATCAAAACCTGGTAGTTGACAGTCCCAACCATGAATGGGTGTGGGTGGAAGTTTTCTTGTTCACATGGATTCGGTAGGCCATCTAATGCCAGGTTTTTTGATTGTGACTCCGTCAGATTTGGAGTCTGGGACATTTCTGAACTCCTATCCACGGTTGGGAACCGGTTGTGCACTGATCGAACATGTTCAGCCAGGCTTTTGGGACGTTGGCAAACCCCATTGCTTTTGGGCGGTTTGACGGGCAGGACATGGATTGGGTGGAGGAACTCTGAAGGCTTGCGGAGCCACATTGGGGATCCATTTGAAACGGCCCGGAAAACGCCAAACACAGGTACCAACAAAAAGAACTCCCCATATCGACGGGACAGCGCGCCAGGTCATCAAGAAGTATGGCCTTGATGAGGGCACCGTTGTGCTGAAGGGCACCCTCAAGAAGCCTCCTGTCAGCATGCCATGCCCAAGAACAGCAAGTGGGTGGAACGTCCTTTTTGGTCAGTTCGGGGTTGGAGGCGTTAGCCAATGCGGCGCCGGTTCTTAAGGCTTCGAGCTTGTGGTCGAAGAGCATGCTTCCCCGAAGTTTTTGCACTGCACAGCCTATGGCCAAGGTAAGAGCTGTGCCAAGTGACACCGTGAGCCTGAGACTGCCACACTGATCGACCAAAATGAGAGAGCAGCGGATGTAGGAGGATTTCCTGATTTCTCTTTGTGGCAGGTTTCCGTTGGGCTCTTTATGAGGGGATGTTCCTTCACAGAAGGGCGCCTTTCCTCGAGCAGCTCGAGAGAGCTGCTGGCCCTGGTGCCTGGCAGACCTGGACGTGGTAGATGTCGTCCCCTCACCCCTTTTTCAGAGAAACCGCCTGCAGCGAGTTTAAAAAAAGAGACTGGCATGGTAGGCGGATTTACTCGCATTCAGATTCGGGTGTTGAAGGTCGTAAGGTTCTCGAATGGAGGGCAGCTTGCTCCAAAGTAACAAACCAAGCAAGATGGTGTGTACTTGTGGCTCTATGACTCCACGACCTGCTGCCAGTTACATAAGTCAGTGTTGCGTGGAGTTGTTTGTTTGTGGGATGCGACGGGGCTGGAGTACTCTTCGGAATACATACATGACGTATTGCGGACACTTTAGATCGCATGCGGCCGCATACACGTACCCATGGCAGGGAACACCTCTCTCAGCTACTCAAACTTGTGAATGGGCCTCATATTCCTAACCTGGTCAAATTGTTGGGCGCAATCGGCTGCAAAGGCAAAGGGTTGAGGCTTGAGGATGATGTGTCTTCAAATGGTAAGCCCCCCCAGTTGGTTGGTGTTCGGAGATAAGCCAAAGGACGAATCCCTTTTCGAGAGTTTTGCTGCTTTTGAGGCTGCAATGCTTGCTGCTACCCTCAATTTCACATTGTGCCCGTAGGGGGAGGGGGGAGAATCACTAGAGGTGCCATGCCCAAAAGACCTGTTTGCGAGGGGTTGGTAGGTCATCAGCCCCTTCATTGGGACTTTAGACTTGTAAACAAACATGATGAGGATTTCTTCTTCCGGGATCCATGACCATCATCCACAGATGTGGAGTTTTTGTGGAACATGGCACACGCGTCTCTTTCACCGGCTTCAACAACCGTTGTCATTTGTCAGATTTGTTTCTCCATTGAGGGCCCTACTTCCCCTGCTTCAAGCCAGGGTGCCCTCAACTTCCATGTTTGGACCTCCAAAACGTGAACTTACCTGCAATTGGCAACTTTGTGGCTCGGGAGAATCAACAGGGGCAGTTTCACTCGAAACCACCAGTAATTTAACCTTTGAGGAAGTCCAAAAGCTTTGATTGAAATGTCGACGGAATGTTCAATCATTGGTCGAGTTCCTTTGAAGAGAAGCCAAAAGGAAACCAACATGATTGGGGACGCCATGCAGCGACTTCTAGGGCCGATTCTGCAGGCAGCAACTGTTTCGCTTAGCTATTATTTTCAGCTTTGACCAGGAAAGCCACCGACCCCAGCAGCTCCAGCCCCAGTTCCATCCAGTTCTTGTACAACTTTTCAGTTCCAGGTTCCAGTTGGAAGTCCAGGTGACCCCTTTCATCCAGGATCCATCGACGCCAGGCTGCAGCCTTTGGGAGCCTTCCGCCTCTACGAGTGCCGGGACGGGCCTTTGGAGCGCAGGTGCGCAAAGCAAAAGGGAACCTCCAAATCGGTTGGACATGAATCCCCAGCCAAGTGATGTCAACGGGTCGCCTATTCAATACTGCGGAGCCATCCCCAGTTTCATCGGGAATCTCATTCGCAAGGTCCCTCGCTTGGGGGACTCCCTCATTCAGTTTGTCAAGTTTCGTGAGAGAAACGAGCCTCACCAATTCGGGGTAAAGTGCGCTCATGTCAAAGCCTACAGGATACCTTGAGGACATGAAATCAAGAGTTAAACCAAATTATAGAGATGTGTGAATCACGTGCTCTTTGGAAGCCAAGAGGCAGCCATAGCCAACTGACCGATTCTGCAAATTGGAGAGAAAACTAAAAAGACCCCGAATCAAACCGGGGGAGTCTTAAAACATCTCGAACATGATGATGCGTCCTCTTGTTATCCTTTGACGCCACCCAAAAAGGAACCTCTCAAGAAGGGACACGTCCAAACAGGTCTGGGTCAGAATAGGGAAATGGGTGCTTTTCTTTTTGGAACCTTTCAAACCCGCCGCAAAGGTACCCTCCAACAAAGGACGCCGAAATCTGCCCATTCGGAGGTCCCTGGACTTGCCCAAGGACCGGGACGAGATCCTTGATCCGGGCACCGTCGGGAATCTCGGGCAGGGATTGGACGAGTTGGCGCGGCGTCAAATGGGCGCGTGAAGGGTGCCCTTGTGGGTTTGCTTCAAAGGGAACCAAAGGAAACTATTGGGGTCCCGTAAGTTAAAACCCAACCCAAATTGGATGGTTTTACAGGCAACCACATGGAACAGTTACCATGATAGGTCCCCTATCCCAAATGGAACTTCAACAGATGAGCAGTGATCTTTTTTGGTTTCCTTAACGCATTTTTTCAGGGGCTTTAATTGTTGACACCCCATTTGCTTCGCAATGGAAGGAAAGTGAGTCGTCCGAACCCCACCCCACCCCCCATTTGTGGCACCAAGCTGAAAACGTGGACCTACGCTAGCAAGTCATTTGCACTTGCTGATGTCAATAATTTGCTTTTGGGAGGTTTCCTTCACGTGCTGCTTTTTCTCCTGGGTCAATTCGATCCTGGACTTCGGAGTGGGGTGTGGTTCCGCGGCCTTGGGCTACGCTTTGGGCTCTTGGTTTCGACCGTTCGGCCGTCAGGTGTGCAAGGCAGCAGCTGTGCGACCGGCGGGGTACCTAGGGTGAGGTGTGGGCTGGGGTAGGACTACAGGTGAGATTCGAAGTTTTTTCGGCCACTGGCTATGACGGGAATCCGTGATTGGTTTTCGAGGGAAGTGAGGGGAACATCGCCGATTACCTTTTGGGGGTTCCCAATTTGGGGACAAAAGCAGAAATTGTTGGTGGACAGAAAAACCCTCTAAGAGCCACCCCTTTCTTGAACAAGTTTGGTGAAGAGTGGTCTGAAGAAGTGCAAAAGCTCAGAGTTGGTGATTGTTTCCCTTGAGCTGGCCAATGAGAAGGGTCCCCCGTTTTGGAAGAACCTATGTGAAGTTCGTAAACCATATCCAGCCGTGCAGAATCCATTTGGGAGGGACGTGCGACTCTCCACAATTCCCACAAAGATCAGGGATACTGTAGCCACTTTTGACCGTGGCACATTCAGATATGACTGGTGGAGCATTGCAGCTCGGTATGTTCGGGAACAATGCCAAATCAGTCCTCACTTTTCTGCACGTCCAACATTCTGGTTCTACATCTCGATTCCTGCGTGGTCAGGGCAATGTTAACCTCCGCGGCCATGTTAGTGGAACCACAAGTCAATGGATTTTCAGCGCTCGTCTCTCGAAATTCTTTGCATCAACTCAGCTCAATGAGCTCTTTGGCCTCACCCCACAAGCTCCAGCTTTGCCTAAGGCTCAAGCTGTGCTGAAGCCGAAGCCTGTGGAAAAGGCAGGCCGTTTGCCCCAGCTTCCATAAAGGGTCTCAGCTAAGTCTTCTTTTGCTGTGATCTCAGTGGGTGGATGAGAGAACACCTTAGTAGTTGACTTCTTGAAGTACAGTCAGGGGCCGGCCAATGTTTGAGTGTATGTTTCTGTTCTTTGTGCACGACTTACTTGAGCAACGATCAACATTTCACACTTGTCTACTGTAGTAAAGGGGACGACGTTGGGTGCATTCGCCAGACTACCATTAGGAACATGTTGTTACTCACGAAAATCCCAGACAGCTGAGCGACGCGATAATATTGACTGTCACTGAATTCAAAGAGCTAGCTCGGGGCTCACGTAGTGCATGGAGGCCGCATTGTTAATCTGCGCCAAGCTCAGCAACCGAAAGGCCTCCCGCCAATTCGCGGTTGAAATCTGTATGGTGCAGGTGATGGCAGAAACGACTTGTGAGTTGCAAATGCATGTGGCAGGCAAGGGCTGGCGGTTGAGACTGGCAGACGATGTGGCCATGCAGACATGCTGCTAGCTTCTTGCGGGGCAGCTGCTGTCATTTCGTTTCACATGAGAAAAGGGTCGCCGCAAATACGCCAGTCTGTCAATCCACCATCCCACTGATAGTCAACTACTAACTCTATGAGCCAGGCACACGATTCGTGCAATGCAATTGGCGTTTCAGCGCTGCTCAGTTCAAAGTGCTTGCTTAGCATCGTTGTCTTTGCTAACAGGACACATAAGGCTTCTCGCTTTGGCTGGTTGTTAGCGAGAACCCACTCATGAACCAACATGGCTATTTGTTTGGTGGAGCCTCATTCCTTTCCATCCCAAAAGGGCCATCCTTGGAGAAACAATCCTTGCCGATTCTCAGGGAAATGAGGGAATGCCCCCTATGAACCATCTTTGGTAGTTTCCTTAAAGGCAACCAACCGGTTCATTCCCAAAACCTTTGAAGTAGCCGAGTGACCTGCAGGATTTTTTCACCCGTGGGAACTGTTGGACAGGCACGCCCTTGTTGGCGCGTGGTCGGTGGCCGGCGCCACAGTGCTGTCACCAGATCCCTTCAAGTGACGCATTTAGAGGGAGTGCTCAAAAGGTGTTTTTGGAGTGGGAAAAACCATTGATCCATCATTTGGAAGGTAATTGTTTGAAGTGTCTTTTGTCTCGGCCGCTTCTGCATTTGGGAGTGCACCGAGCCCATTTCGATGCAGCTCCTGGAAAAGCTTGGACACCCGAACAGAGTTTCCGGCAAAACATGAGCCACGCGGGTGAAGGATCCGTTTGATATGGCACCGGGTCAAAGATTTGGGTCTCTTTGTCAGGCCTTGCCTTTGCAAAGATTCGAAGCGTTTTGTGCACTTGGAAAGCCTGAAAGTCGGCCGGAAAGAGATTCAACAGCTGCCCTGCGCCGAGTTTTGGCGGAACTGCCCATGTCTGGCTGAGGCCGCATGCAGGGTGGCATCATTGTGGGGGGCCCACGGGGGCCTTGTGGCTGGTGAAGTGGCTTTCTTGGGCCCGTGGTATTCCGGTACTTTGCTGCGGACTGAGCAAGTGCGAGCAGATCATGCGCCGTCTGCCGCCAATCGAGCGGGACTACTTCCAAATTTTGCACGTGTGTACGAAGCCAATTCGCCGCATACTGAACCCTGAAAATTCCGCAAGCTTGTGTCTAATGTATTTGCCTGTCCAGCACCTGGTGGACGTGGGAAAAGACGCGGGAACTTCTGAGTTTCTTTAAAGGGCGCCCGACCTACAAAAAGACTACTCTCAAACTGACTTTCGAGCGCACGCGAGCGCGCGCGCGCGCGCGCCCAGGTGCGGCGTGCGCCGCAGGGCGTGGACAAGGCCGACTATGCGGGAAGGCTGAAGCATGGTGCGGTCGCCCAGCGATGGACCAGGTTGACCCCGGCCACCAATCTGGCTTCGGAAGGCACAAGTGATTAAAGAGTGACAAGTCGAACGGAATTTGTTCAGGTTGGACAGGTTTGCGGACAAATCAATACTCACATGGTTGTCTCATGACCATGACGATTAATACCCCGGCAGGACAAGAACAGGCAGCAGGACTGAGTTGTTTAAGATATGTTCACTCCATTCCAACTGAATTGCCCAATTCAGCGTGACATAGGAACCTTGGCTATGATTGAGCAAGGCGCACATTGTCCATGCTGGAGCCTTTTTGGAGTCACAAAAGCCTTTTTTGCCGAACGCAAACGGTGACCGCGTCTTGCATTTTGGATTTGGCCCCTTTTTGCTTGAGTCGGTGACATATTTTGTCCGGAGGGAATCTTGTCCTTGAGCACATTTGGGGAGCTTTGGCCATGGAGTTTTTGAGGTGCGCTGGTGCAAGAGTTAGAAAGGACCAAGCAGAGGCGGGGGGGGGTAGAAGACCTTTGGCCAGTCCAGGGGTGGGATGATGGCCCTTACAAGATTTCTGTTAAGCAGGAACACCGCTCCGCAAAAAGGAGGTGGCCACGGAATCATTCTGGAGCAAATTGTAACGGGCTCATCGGTGAAACAAGCGAACGGCAACCTCACTTGGGGATTCATGATTTCAGGTTTGCGAACTATAGTTGTGGCAATTAGCCCAGATCATTTCGCGCCCCTTCATCGCCATTCTGCCCTAGGCCTCATCCTCAATTTACGCTGTGCGTGCCACTGATTTTGGTCAAACGTACCGCATACCTTGATCCTTGGCATTTTGGTCGGTCTTTCGAAGCACACCAGTAGAAAAGCCGCCATTTTGGTGTCGAAATCTCCCACAGCAACCCCCCTGACAACCCCATTTGGCAGCCCAGCAAGTTCCCAAGCCTTGAAGTTGAGCTGAGCGGCTAAGCTGTGAGGTTGTGGGCCCCCATTGTGCGACAATTGTGACCTCTTGAATGGCCTAAGTTTGCAGTTCAAGGTTCATTAGATGTGGCTGCCATAATTTAAGAGTGTCGTTTTTTTTAGGCGGGGGATGAGGTACTTGGGTGGGAGATGCGGAAGTGTATTTTGTTTGCACTAATTATTCCGAGCTCACAGGCGGGCACAACTGGCTCCATGCAGGTTTTCTGTGGGATTAGGAACCAAACTTGCATCCCCCTTCCCGATGGGGTCGAGCAACTCGCGATTCGCCAGGCTCCTCTACAGCAAGCTGGCGGGCGATGGCCCCGATGGAGGCACGGGGAACCTGCGCGGTTTGTCTCAGATGTGTAGGTGTCTGAAAGCTTGCGGACCTCTTGTGGGACAATTCCAAAGGAAAGCCACAAGGAAACCAGACGCATGTTTAGTCCCCAAGTTGAGAAGCGACTGGTGAGAATCCGGCTGGGGCCTGTTCTGGATTGTATTTTTGCAAGCGACCTTCCGTCCGCCTCAAATTCAGAGTGACCACTGGCACTGTGAGAGGCAATTCCATGTAGTTTTGATTTCAATCCTCCTTCAGGGGTCATCAATCGCTTCCTCAACTCCGCTGTTTTTTGCATTAAAAGCCGGCGTTGCAAGTTCATTGCCGCGCCTCACAGCCCTCCAGATGATGCGCCCGAACTTTCCCAGGGACCACAGGATGGATCCCATCAGGAAAGGTCAGCTGGCGTGGCCAAACGTTTGCAAAGAAAGCGGAATGGGGGAATGGGCGGAGGAGAAGGGAAGAGAGTCATTGTTTGGGCCCCCATAGTAGCCGAGTTGAGTCATATGAGTCGTATGGGTATGGCATGGGGCGGCTGCCTCGCCTGTTTGCCGCGAGGCTGGGTGAGCTTCGTTTCGGCCAAAGGGGCTGTGCTGCTTCGAAGGGAAGAAGAATCTGAGAAAAGCGTGGCGAAGCAGAGAGTCTGCACCCAGTTTTGCGAAATGACACCTGGGCAGAGAGTGAGTCCTCATGTTTGAGCTGTCTCCCAGCATTATCTCAACCTTGTCATTGTACATGGTAGACCCACAGCCTGCCTTGCCTCTGGCCATCTGGGAAAATGCAGGAAGCAAAGCAAATTTGCGACCTATCACTGAAAGCCGGCACTATGGCGTATGGCTTGGTTTGGATTGTCGTACAAGCCCATGGGCAACCTGTCGAGCAGCAGCCAACCTAGGCTTACCAGCTTACCAGCAAACATTTGCTCAACTCATCCAGGTGTCAGCCTGGCACATTTGCACTCTGCGAGAAAGCAAGGTCGCACACCGGGGAGGATACAATGCTGCAATAGAATTGCTTCCTGCTTTGTTCAGCTTTACCTTCATGGACTGCCTCGTAACATCAACTGTTCCTCAGACCATCTCTTGAGGCAGATGCAGTCTAAGTGATTCTTTCAAGAATCCAACCGCTGCTGCCCTGTGCCGCGGACACCTCTTAAATTGCACAACAAACAAGCACACGCACAAGCAAGAGAGCAAGAGAGCAAGCAAGCAAGCAAGCAAGCCAACAGACAAACAGACAGAGCCAGACAAAGGAACTAAACATGCAACAACACAAATACACAAATAACCATGCATACATACTTACTTACAACACACATGCATATATATATATATATTACATTACATTGTATGGCATTACATTGCATTGCATTGCATTACATCACATCACATCACATCACATTACACTACATGCATACATACATACATACATACATACATACATACATACATACATACATGCATACAT